CGGCCGCTGTTTTCGCAGCTTGCTGCTTCGCCGCCGCTGGCTTCTTGGCTTTCTTCGCCGGGGCGTGTTTCTTAGTTTGCTTCATCCAAACCGGTCTTTTCAATGCATCCTTCTTGTCATTCTTTTCCTTCTTATCATTATCTACTTTTTCACCATTTTCACCGCCACCTTCTTCGTCATCCCTACAATAGAGATTATTATGAAACACATGCATAAACTATTATTAAACAATTAACTAGTTATCGCCCGCGACACCGTCCGAGGAGAATTAAAAAAAAGTTAGGTTGTGTTCTTCTAGACTAAATATGTGCCAAATATCATCGAGATCCGTTCAACAGTTTATGCTACAAACTCTAACAAACATCCATCCATCCAAACTTTTAGCATTTATTATATTAGTAAGAAGTAAGATTTACAAAACTGACTGCCAGTCCCACACGCATTTACTAATTCCTTAACACATAAAACATAATTTTAGCAAGCAATAATAATGTTACTAACTTTATCGTCTCCTTTTCTTTGATAGTTGTATCTCCGAAGAGTTCCTTCATGTTGGTCCTTCTGAGCGATACAGTGACTGTTACAATGGCGCCCGCTGTCACTACCGTAGGGTTTTCATCGTCAATTACTAGAAAAAAGAACATATATAAAAATGCTAAACCTATATAACATTACACATAGAACATCCTGAAATGTTAAATCTTTTTAACCCTTGATCAATCGATTTTTCTAAATAATTGTAAACTGATTATGGTTTTAAACAACTGGAAATTGCGATAAAATCTAATTTTCTTATAAAGAAATTAATTTTAATGAAAAAGAAATTCTATGTAATGTCAATTGGGAATTAATTGCACATTATTTGATTAAGGATTAATCTTTTTTTTTTATAAAAAATTATTCAAGTCTATAAAAATTATCATTTTTTATACCATAAACATATTGGAATTAATTTAATATTGTTAAATTTACCTTCAGTATTGACTTGGAAATGTATATAGGGCATATTTCCCAACACTTTCATAGTATCTTCATATTGTTTATCATTTAGGAACCTAAGTACTTGTCTCCTATCTTCACCGGACAATTGTGCTAATTGGAGTAATGATTTTATATGCTTTTTGCGGTTCGTAAAGTATTTGAGATGGTCTTCTGTGATGTACGGCAACTGCAGTAACGGTGACTTGTATTCCCAGAGACCTTGAACTATCATCGGGGAGAGTTTCATGCAGTTTTCTATTGTCTCAATTGTGGGTAAACGAGGAACTGAAATAAATACAAAACATATAAACAAAGAAAGTTTTCATGCTAATGTTTAAAATATTGAATAAAACTCAAATTTGCTGTTTTCTGTAAGAATTTTCTAGAAAACACATTGCATGAAATAGATTCACTTAAATTTTTGTTGTTTAAATAAACGCTTACATTTTACCATGTCGAACTTGTAAGCAATTTAACAAGGAAAATGTTTTAATAACTGAGTAACATTGTTGTGCAGTTTCAAATTCCTACGGTAATTTACACTGTATGTAGTCTACAATGTTACATTTTGAAAGGTTGTGTATTGAAATATTTTAAGATATAGTCCACAGAAATAAGATTTTTTTTCACCCATGTCACTGCCTGATAATGTCTGTCAAAGGCCTGACTATGATTTTATTTCATTAAAATGTTATTATTTAAATTGATGCCACAATCTCTGAATTTGATTAGTCTATATTTAATCTTTAAAAAAAATTGTTAAGATTGGGTTATAATTCCTCATAAATAAAGACCACTCACTTCTCCTAGCGTAAGCAAGCGCAATTAGCTGGTTCACACAATTAACCATCTCCACAATAAGATCTGGGCAACGGGACACCACATATCGTCTGTCACATTCTAATGTGTCTTCAGGCAGTTGCATACGGGATAAATGGGCATGTAAAAGTGCACGAGCTTTAATACTATATGGCCGACACAACGGCTGCTCTTTATTCTTCTCTCCTAGGTTTGGTAGTTCACGTAGAAGCTGAAAAACACAGACATTGCCTAAACCCATGTTTAAATATACACTTATACATCACATAGACGATTATTGAAACAACAATGCTATGCCTTAATTCCAAAAATTATAATACGATTTTGTCATCTGGCATACTATAAGCGATGCATGCGAATGAAAGTACTTTAGATTCGTTTCAGTATTCGGTTGTAAATATTGTAAACATACAAATATCAAATCTCATATAAGGTATGTAAGGTATGTTACGTTTTTATCAGAATTAAGCAATATACATGGTTCTGTGTAAAATCTGCTTTGTGTCTATTGAAATATAGTATAGGCTTTGCTATATACACTGGATATAATGTCTGACAATACAAACAAGGTTTTATAAACAATAAAATCATTAAGTAGTGACCTAAATACATCTGTGTCAACATTAAAGGTTCTCACTGATTATTGCTTATTGTTTTTACACAGTCATGAATTCCCAAGAAAATCACAATTCAGAATAAAAATATTTGATTTCCTTTCAATGTTGTTTGTTGTTTTAGGGTTATTTTCTACTCTTCAAAATAGATATTAATCATTAAGTGAGAGATACTTTTTTGCAAAAATTTACTTATTGCATAAATCATCTAGAAGTCATGTGTCTCTTCCTACATTTACTGTTATAAAATCTATAATCAATATATCTTACCGCTGGCACTTCTTCATTATCAGTTATCCGTTCTATAACTTCAGAATTATGCCTGCGATCAAATTCACAAGAAGCTGCCAAAATCATCAGAGCCCTTTTCAAAGGCATTGAAGGTGTCTTATGACAGAAGTAGAAGTACATCTGAGTGGTATCTAATAAAACTTGCTCTCCTGAATATTTAATTGACCGATACCACCAGGTACCTACCTGAAAAGAAAAACATAAATAATTAAATGATGTTTATTAATCTTCAACAGAAATTCTAAAGAACAAAAAAAAAATACACAACCAGCAACATCACTGATAACATTTATCTAAAATCAAAATTAGTTAAACAATATAAGTTAGATATGACAAAGCTAAAAGATATTCTATAGAAGAATAATTGTACTCATGCATTCACTTTCATTTTTTTACATACCACATGAGAATTAAGAATAGTTTTATAGTTATGTGAACTAATTTCTTTTTATGTTGGCATTATGACTACTATACTCAGAATCCACAAGAGAAAAATTACAATAAATGCGAAAATTTGTATAGATGGATGTTTGTTACTATATATCTCCAGAACAGCTCAACAAATCTTGCTGAACCATGTAAAACATAGTCTAGATCAAAAAGGTTATTTTTTTTAAATTCCATATGGGGGCAAACATTCTGGGGTAAGAGCTAGTGAGTAATTAAATAAAAAGGATTTTTTTTTAAATATAAACTTACAGCTATAGGTAGGGCTACCATAAAAACAAGCCCATATAATCCAAGCACCCAAACACTGTTTTCCTTTTCTACAATCCAACTTGGCAATGCAATACCAAAACTCATAGCACCTGGACCATCTGGGTTACCATATTTTTCCCAGTTTCGTCTTGCCTCTTCATCTGTAAGTGCCTAAAAATTAAAAAAGTAATTTATAGCTTTACACATATTACACATAGGTGTTTAGAACATAGCAACAGCTATATATTTTCTAACTGCTCCATCTTTCTAAAGAATCCTTTTTTTTTATTCAATTTATATATTTACATTAATTATAGCTACTCAGTCAGTTTCACTTACTTGATAAGCTTTAGTAAGTCTCATAAAAGCTTTTTCATCACCAGTCTCTTTGTCAGGATGAAGTATCAATGATTGTTTACGATAAGACTTCTTTATCTCAGACTGTGTAGCTCCAGGCGGCAACCCAAGTATATCATAGGGATCGAAATTAGACATTTCATAATCAAATTGAGACACTTTATATGCAAGGAATCCAAGAAGAACCCATCCTGATATTATAGCTAATTTTATAAAAAAGTTTTTTAGGGTTTTGTATGGTTGTGATTGCTCAAGAACATGCTGTTTCTTTAGACAACTTGGACACTGACAACGTTCTGCTTTGATTGCGGGATCTGAAATTAAATGAAAGATTTTTTTACTACTTGTTTATTCTTTACAATGATAAACTGAGAATCCATAAAAAGTTAAGTCGGTCAAAAGTAACAATTCGTCTATCAGTAACAATTAATGTAAACATTAAACCATTCTTTAATAAATTACGGTATCGTCACGCTGACAGCATCCTAATACAGCGACATAACTGTACAATGTAAGTACACCTTAAAGTATCTTTGCAGAAGCAGGTACATTTTTTCACACATATTGTACACGTATGCAAACCTTTTGATAAACAGTTTTGTAAATTTTAAGATGTTTCATTGAATTATACTGTAAACTTACAAACCTTCTTTTCGTTTCCTCGGCCAGTAATAAAATGTAGCTGGAACAAGTATTAAAGCTAGAAACGAAAGCACGAAATAAAAGAATGTAGACCCACTCTCGTCGTATTCAAACTTTTGACCACCCATTTTATAAATTATTTTAATACATAGTGCGATAAATAAAAATCATTACCGCGCTGCACGATAAACCTGACGTGTCATTCACAATTTGTAATTGCAAAGATTGCCATTTTATTAAAGACAACTATAAAATTGTACAAAATGGTATAAAATAACATTAAATTGCTGTTGTTTCTTTCAAAAAATTTATTTTGAATTATAAAAAAATCACACAGTTGAAACTTGTAGCGTATTTTAATACAAATTTGCTTTAGATTTAGTTACTGAATAAATAAAAAGAAACTAATAGGTTCAATCTACACGCCAATAACAATTTTCTGTTATTTTTTTGAAGATTGATTATTCCTAGAATTTCTTGATGCACAAAACTTTTATTTTAAAGAAATGCAGAAGTTTGGTTCCGATTTCTATGTAAAGTTTTCTGATCATGTCAGTAATGATTTACTGGCATATCTGGTAACAATGGTGTTTTGTTTTTGTCATTGTCACTTGTAATGTCAAAACTCTACAAAATAAAAATTTTTGTTCGTCCGTTCCGATCGCAGAGGAGATATGTAATAACAAATACATATTTTGCTAACATAGAAATCAGCTTTATAGCACGTGGAATAAAAAGCAATATCCAATATTTTTTGTCTTAAAGGTGCGTTATTACCGATACTTATATGATCATAGATTTTTGACAGGGGATATAGAAAATTTGCGTGTTTTCTTAATGCTGAATTTTATGTTTTAATTCTTTATGCTTCAAGAAGGTAAAAAAGATCTAAAGGATATTATTTAGTCAGTTTTTTTTAATGCTTTCAACAATTGCACAATCGCCAACTCCTGACTAATTTGCAATGGTTTTTCTTGTATTGAAAAAAATGGACCATGAAATATTACAATAATTATGTTTTTATTCGTAGATGGCTACCAAAACAATTGCCAGTGCAACAGTAAGGGCTGTTAAAAAAAGGGTGCTCCCTTCACGGGCTGCATTAGTTCTGACTCCAACCGCAGTGCAAAAAGTGAAAGAGATTATGTCGAAGGAAGAAGCTAAAGGTTTCATAGGATTGAAAGTAGGAGTTAGACAAAGAGGTTGTAATGGGTTATCCTACACATTAGATTATGCAACAACTAAAGGCAAATTGGATGAAGAGGTGAAACAGGATGGTGTAACAATTATAATAGACAAGAAAGCACAGTTAACCTTGTTAGGTGTGTATCTTCAGTTACACATTTGATATTGCAGTTGTTACTTGCAATTGGATTATTTCACATTTTCAGTAATCAGATCATTTTTAATTTGTTTTCTACCTCATCTAACATGATGTTTGACATTGCATAACTCTAAAATGGCTCAATGGATCCAAATTAAATTTAGCACAGATCATAGTCTGGAAGAACAGTGGGTACTGTTAAGTATTTTGTTAATTCCGCATGGATGAAGTCACAGGCAAAGTCTATTTACTCAAATAAACATAAGATGTGATAATTTTTCTCCCATATTATGTTCTGGGGTAAATTTTTATTTTTATTGTCAAACTTAATAACAACTCCAAACTATATTTTGTTTTTTGTTTTAGGTACTGAAATGGATTTTGTAGAGGATAAGCTTTCAGCTGAATTTGTTTTTAACAATCCAAACATAAAAGGCACATGTGGCTGTGGGGAATCATTTAGTATATAAAATGAACCACAAATCTGTATTGCCTAGTCTCACATTAATGAAGCTTAGATCTTTTGATTGTAGATAAAAATTGTCAAGCACCTTTTATTTCCTGGTAATTTTAAAAAGTTAGGCAAAAATAGTGTTAAGACTTTGTTGTGATGAATAGATTGTATTTTATTGTACAGTAGATGTTATATGTTGACAGATGTAATATACTTTTTTTTTAATTTAATTGTGTTTAATTTTTTATGTTTACATTGAATATGTTTACATAAAAGAAGTTGAATAAATATTTAGTACTAGCATCAAAATAATTGTTTAGTAATTTTTGCCTTGCATTAATAAATAGTTTATTTTTAAAATTGAATTTTGTTTTTTTTAAAGAGCAATAAAGGAAAAGGTTGCTGCAGTACCATATAAGTGAAAAAGGGTTATCATTTTGTGGCATTTTTGTTGACATCTAAACCATAAACCATTAAAGCTGCCATGGATAATTTTAATAATTTTATTAAAACTGAAGTACTAAAAAACCCAAATGTATAATTGCTGTCTGTAGTACCGTCATCATTTTCTTGCAATGAACTTAATTTAATTTATTAATTGATTGTTAGCATTGCAGGTTAAAATAGTCCGTTTTTTGCATAGCACGGAACGCAAACAAACGGAGAGAAATATAGTTCATGCTATCTCTTTCGCACGAATAACATGGTGGTAGCTCTTCGTTTGGTGGTAGCGCCGTGTGAAAAGTTTATATTGTTTGTCTTATTCGCCTTTGTTTACGTGTCCAACTTCCAGATAGGTTTTAGGTAGATAAACTTATAATCCTGTCGTTTATGAAAATTAATGTTACCGTTTGCTATATACAGTTTGTGCATAAGATAAAATATCATAACCGAGTGAAATGAATAACGGGGACGTCGGAGGATCCAGAGGCAGAGGTCGTGGATGGCAGCAAAACGATAATCAACCTCGGGAACTTCGTCGACCGAAAACGGTTGTTGAAGGTAATCATGACTTATGTATAATTTTAAGAAACACTTTCAAAAGATGAATATAAATGAGTGGTGGTGCGACGACGTCATACATTGCTCGTCTATGCACACCGAGACACCAGGTGAAAGTTTTAAGGATTTTCATAGATGATGACGTCGACTTACTTTGACAGATACCAACCGGTTGTTATGCTATACGAGCAATGTATGTTAATTTTATAATTGACTCATAGTTTTTTGTCGATGCCTATGAGGTTTTATTAATCTAAAAGTTTTGTTTAATACAATTTTCTTTATTATAAGCGTCATTCAGTCATTTTATTGATTTCTTTGTTTAATAGTTGAACCATCAAAGTCCAACTTGTCTGCTGATGCAGAAGAATGGTACCCACCTAACTATGTGCCCCAGCCAGCAACATACACAGACCCTTCGCCCTATAGGCCCCACCGGTTCTCTGTTCAAGGCAGACTACGTCAAGCTCAAGATGTAAACCCATACAGTTATGAAGAGATGTCATATGCACTTGAAGAATTCGAAAATGTGGATATGCGGGTTAGTTGATACCATAAAAACAAAGACTTGGTAAATTAATTTCAAAGAATTTCATTAAATAAAATAAATGTTTTAGGAGAATCTTGCCAATTTGATTACTGTTATGTGTGAGATAACATTTGAACCTGGCAAGTTTGATACACTATGTGGGCCATTAGTTGACTCCTTTGTGTCAACATTACATGATGTCAACTACACTAGACCTCTTGTTGAAGCTATTGTGAATCAGGTATGATTAACTCATAAAACTAAATATAAATTAACAAATCATATTACTAAAATAAAACTCTCAGCTAAAAATAATGTATTTGTAAGCATTAGTTTTATATCTATGTCAAGTAAACATTTTTAATTTTTTGTCATAATCATTATTTTTTCATATGTATTCTTGCACTAAAAATAATTTCCCATAAGAGGTGATACTCTTCTTTACATGAGTTGAATCAATTTTACAGTTTTAACACTTATATATAATTTTCATTAATTTCTATTTAGTCAATCGCTGAATCTAATTTCCGCTACAATGGGGCGAGACTCTGCTCCATGTATGACTCAGTGTCACCACCAGAGGAGTCCAAGTTCCGCTCATGTCTGTTGGAGCGTTGTGCCGCAGAGGAGAATAAGATTATCAGTGGTGTTGAGACTTCTGAGGAGAATATGAGAGGGTTTGCTATGTTCCTTGCAGAGATATACACTCAACTGGAAGACAGCCAGGTATAAAAAAAAACTTGCACTATTTATTGATATTAACAAAACAAATGTAACCATTTATTCAGTGAAATGTAAGTATATGATTCTCTTTACATATTATTGTAAATTGTAGCATTTGTTGACTGTTTTTATTATTTTCAGAATGCATGATTTTATTAAAGTTTTAATAATTCATTTGATTTAATTTTCTTATTATAAAGTTTAACTTTCAGGGTGGACGCTTAAAATCTTTAGGTGAAAGCCTCTGCAAAGTGCTTCTCCATTTGTTGGACACCGACAAAGAAGTCAATATTAAAGCTGTGTGTCAGTTACTTAAGGTGAGTACATGTTTTGGTTTATCTTATTTAACTTAGTTAGATTACAAATTTGTCTATAATTTATTAACATAAGGCAAATATAATATATAATAACTAATTATTTTTGTTTAATTTCAATTAAAAAAAATATTGTAAATCCTTATATATAATTAACTTAAGATAAAAACACTTTTCTAATAAAATTCATTGGTTATAAAAAAATCTTTCACACATCACATGTAACATTTCATTGTGATCCATTGAGCTTGATAATATAAGTAAGATTACGTGTTTGTGTAGTTGTCGGGTATAGCGCTGGACGCGGACTGTCCTACTGGCATGCACGCGGCGTTCGAGCGTCTGCGGCGGCGCTCGTCGCTGGCGTGCGTGCGCGGCGTGGTGGCGCTGCGAGCCGCGCGCTGGGGACTCAGCGAGAGCGACCGCGAGCCGCCGCAGGACTCCGCGCACCACGCGCCGCCCGCGCCCGCGCCCGCTCCGCACGACAACAGGCGACGACAAAGTAAGTCAACACATATCCAATACATCATTTTCACTTACTACCACACATTTGAAAAATATATAAAGGAGGCATGAACAAATTTTACCGGTACTTTCTCTGAAAGGTAATATATTAGTTGTCAAGTTTGGTACGCCAACTTGTATCCTTTTATATACATTTACATTTGAAAATGTATATGATGAGCTTCGTCTTGTTATAGTGTTAGTGAAAAATGTTTTAAATGAAGTGTCAACTATGCCTCCTCTATATATTTTGACTCATTCAAAGTTACATAACCTTTTATCGGCGTCACCAAATATACCTTCCACTGTTAGGCCTGAAGAAATGTAACCTTCATAGAAATCTCATTTTGTTTTCACTTAATATTAATTACCAATAATATAGATACTCATAATTAGCATTTATCATATTTTTGAGATGAAATTGTAGCTATGTACAGAAATAAAAAAAAAAAACAATTGCAAATATTTCATGTAATCAGTGGATGGTGAAAATATTGTATTGGATTAAAATTAACATTTTTACTGCTATCATGCTTTTCATGTTCAAATATTTGATAGTACATTTTATTTGGACAGCAAATTCACTAGCCATCGCTATGCCATATCATTGCCTCATAACATGCAGTTGCAGCTACATAAGTACTGCTTATGCTAATTGAGAATTTACTTAACTTAACTTAACTTAGCAATAAAGTCTTTACAATGTAATAGACCCGTTTCAACTATATTTAATACTTAAAAGTATATACAAATTCTTATTTGTTGTCAAAATGGGGCTTTTACATTGTTATTTTTATTATAACAGTTACTAATATACTATTAAAATTATGAATATGGTTTTGGTTTTGCTTGTCACAACAGATAAAGGAAAATATAAAGGTATCATTTTTTTTTAATTCAATAATAAACCTTGCTGGACGAATCAGATTTTCAATACATTAGGCACTTTGTATTTTTCAAACATCTTAACGGCCGAATATCGTACAAGTTGTTTCAAAACACAGTTTTAGATGTTGCGGGAACTAAAAGGATGCGGAGCATCTTAAGGCCAGCTCCAAAAACATTGAAACACTGTAATAGTCAATTATAAACTTTGCTATGGTTCGTGTATTTACGAGGCTTGTTAATGTTAAAGATGCCTGTATAATATACATGCGCTGAACGCGGTTAGGGTGCGGCAGGAACTTTTGATTACGGTCTGTGCGTTGATAGTGAGTAAGGAAATAAATGTATTATATTTGTTGGAACAGTATTTAACGGTGATATGGAAGGAGGGGCGAACACCGAGGGAGGTTACCTGGCGGACGGGCACACGCTCACTGCGGAGGAGTGCGCCTTCCTCCAGAGCAACCTGCCGCCTAAGGCCGCCGCTATCGACGAAGACATACTGTGAGTTGTGCTAACGTATATATTTCGCTTAGTAGCTGATTAATTTGCATTTTTAGTTAGCATATTCAGCTTTGTAGGCTCGAATGTAATGTGACTCGAAATGTTGGAGACGCACACGAAATTTCATTGTTAATCGTATAATTTTAATAAATTAACTATGCGACAAATTTATGATTAAACATTATAGAAACTGCAAATTGAATTCAAAAAGTACAAAACATTTGGGAAAGGTTCAAATCGACTATGGCTATTTTTATGGCTATGTCTATGTTTACATTTAATGTCCAGCAAGTGTTTTATAAATTATACATAATCTTATTATATAGTTTTATAGCATAACTTGGCTTTTACGCAAAAATTGCCTACCAATAAACCAATCATTGCATGCTTTTATATTTGTTCAGCTTAATCATCAACTTGCTTTGTCGTCTACAGATATCTTATTAATAGTTTTTATTTATTTATAATCCATTAAATTTGCATGTCTTAAATCCACTTTCAACTGCGTTTTGCCAAATATTAATTTTACAAACATTATTCTATAAATGTTTTAATAATTGATTTTTCATATTACGATGGTCACATTAAATAAATATAATATTTCAGCGACGAACTAGAGAACGACGCATGGGAGACCGGCATGGACGCCGAGATGCAGGCCGGCTTCCTCGAATTTCTCAAGATGTCCAATCAGATCAAACGATAACCACATACAGCGTGCGACTACTGTTACTTACTGAACAGATAATGTCGCATCAACGCCGACACGAAATGTCAAAAATTAATAAAAAAAAATTATAAAAAACCTTAGAAAATAATAAAAATATCTCAGTCGCAGACCATCACTGTAGAAGAATTAGTATGGATTAGTGAAGCGGTAGGATTAGAGGGAGCGGACCGTCATTTACGAGAATATCATTTTGTGTGAACATCAGATTGTGCGTTCTACTCCTTAGTGGTACAGGAAAGTGGGTGATCGCAGGAATTGCCGTAAGTAACACTTCCATTTATGCATTTGTTAGTAATATCTTAAAGTTTAACGTGACATAGCCAGAAATACTGACATCTACTGCCTTTCAATGAATATGTTGTAATATCGGATACATATAAAATAGGTGCTCTTTTAGAGTGGTCGATATTGATGTTAAAGATAGTCTATATTTTTATTTTCATCTATACGCCAATTAGAATAATGTATGCAGATGTGTCAGTGTTTTGTTGTATTTTATTTGCAATTTAATTTGTATATTTGGGTCTGTCGCTGAGTAGGATAAATTCATAATAACATGCGAGCAACATAAATTACTTTGGATAAAGAATGAATTGTATATTTTGTCACATTTGAATCAATTAACAATCATGAACATTAAAATAAGGACTTAATGTAAACAAGTTTGTATATCATCAAAGTAGAACAAAATGATTGGGCATTATGCTTATTTAATACTGTAAAATTTCCTTGTTTTTAAGAATCCATAACGTGCTCATCGAAATAATAGATCGAATGTCGTAAAATTTGGTAAAAGATTATGTTTCCTTTCTTGTATTAATATTAAAACTTAATTACTTGTTTACATTTTGTCTGTATATCTTCTAGTTATTTAATGATCTCATTTTTAACTCTTTCAAAATTGACAATAAATATGAAATTGCTTACAAAATATACAATAACCTGCATAATAAACACAGTATATTTAAAGAACAACTGAAAACCAAATCGAGGAGTGATTTTAAGTAGAATTACAATTGAATTCCTTTAAAAAACAAAGCAGAAAAATGCACAAAAAAATACAAATATTAAGTTTTTATTTGCAAGTGTAGAGGCAAAATGACAATAACTCTCTTATTTTAATGTAAAAGAATGCATCCTTCAATATATTCACCCGGAATGCATATAAAAATGAAATCTTGGATGGCTTAAGAATGAAGATGAATTTTATTATTATTTGAGGACATGATAAACTTTTTTATTAAAACAATTTTTTTAATCACCAGCACAGCTTGAAAGACAAAAGGTTGTATGTATTATCTTTAAGTAAAATTTAGGTTATGTTTTTTTTTTCTTATTTCAATCGTGAAATTTTGTTTAATTTTTAATTCAATTGGGTTCTCCTAATCATGTGAAAATTGTTTTATTGAAAAAATATCACATTACGCCCTCGTACGGCTTTTTATCTGCCGAATATTTAAGTAAATACTTCCATGAATTTTATTTGTATTTGGTGCGGCAATGCCACCAGTAATGCCAAATTACATTGTGTTGTTTATAATTGCTTTATATTGACATAATTTTTATTTGTATGAAGTGAAATTGTGTGATAATGTATAATGATTGATTTTAGTAATGACCTAATTGCCAGTTTAAATGTCATATAATACATATATCAGTGAAGGTTGCATGTACACATGTCCGTACTGTGTACATGATGCAATAAACACATTTTTGAATATTTTTGCAATATATACTGGAATTATTTATTTAAAGCGATTAGGGCGAATGTTTATAATATTCCATTGTATTTTTGTTGCAGTGATATTATGAATGTTATAAGAATAAATGGATATTTTATTATAAGTCATTTAAGTAAAATGTAGTTTTATTTCCGGATATCAAACAGTGTATATCTTAATTCCACAACCTTGTATAGTTTGAAATAATAGTGTGGCAATAATACAAATACTTTATGATATAATTGTTTATAATATACCTCATATTACATTATCTATATGGAGGTCAAGACAGATTATTTTTTGTCCACAAAAGTACAAAAGTAATATAGGCATGTTATATAATATAATAGCCTGACATTAAAAAATCAATTAACATATTTTACAGAATGTTTTTCTAGAATTTTTCTAGAATCTTCTAGATTTATACAATAGGGTTTTCAATGAATTTACTTTTTCAAGTATATTTTGATCAAAATGGAAAGACTTTCTGAACCATTGTTTTTTAAATTGAGCCTTGCTTAGTCCTTGTGTTATACTTGAGGCAGCACTTTGTAAGGGTTGAGGATATCATTGGGGTCCATCAGTTGTTTGAGTTGCTTCATCAAGTGTATCGCTGTGAGGTCCTTGCTGTAGTGTATGTAGTGCGGTTTGCGGAACCCGACGCCATGTTCAGCGCTGATTGAACCATTTAACTTGGCCACCTCCTCAAATATAAAAGGCTCCAACATCGAACACACCTCTTGGTCGTATTTCGGTACTGTCACGTTGATGTGAATGTTACCATCGCCTGAGAAATCCGATTTAATTATTTATTAACTGACTTTAAAAATACGGACAAGTATAATTTTTTTGCGTTTAACACTTTGAATGCGGGCAATGTATTTTTACTCTTTGCTATCTGCCACTGGAATGTGGGTCAAGTAAAAATACGTATTTAGTAAATTTGTGCTGGATAATATAGTATTTTTCGAGTTACTGCGATTTTTCTATGTAAATCAAATTTTCGCGCGAGTATAAACCCGCATGCCGTGTGTTAATAATTGTACATCTAACATAACCTAGTCATCAGTTAGCAATTGATTTGAATTCTCTCACATTGGTATTTTCATCGTTGTCTCTATTTTCTTTCAATAAGAATGAAAGGGAGCACTATATGACTTGAATTCCAGTGTTTGTAACTTACCAACATGTCCGTAGCCATACACTTTGAGTGCTTTGTGTCCGAGTCTGTCTCGGAGCAGCGGCACGAGGCTGTAGTAGTTGTGAAGCGGCACGGACACGTCGTACTTGAACACGTAACCGTCAATCAGCCCCGCGCCTGCTATGCTCTCACGTAGGTTCCAAATTGTCTGCAAATATCTTTGTTCAATGGACTTGCTTTCGCCCGCGACTCCGTCCGTGTCCAATTAAAAAACAAAAGTAGCTGATATGTTCTTCCAGACTTTCCTCTTCGTGTATACCAAATTTCATCGAAATTCATTCATCAGTTTAGGTTACAAACGCTAACATTCATCCATCTAAACTTTCGCATTTATAATATTAGTAAGATAAATAGTAAACTATTTTCTTTCGTTTGGATAGGGCTTTCTCTCTCTCTCTCTCCCTCTCTCGGTATCTTTTTTTTGTATTTATTAGGTTATTAAACTTAACAAGTAATGTTTTCATATCAAACTAAAAATGCCATTTAAAGCTTAAAATATTAAATTCTTTTACGGTGCTCGCTATTTAGTGAATGTCATATTTTTATTTAAAGTATGCAATAAGTGACCAAAGGTTAAAAACACCTGCATTTTGGCTGGTTCGGAGGTGACAGTTCCGTCAACAATGAGACCGCTCTCCATCTCCTTGTCCAGGAACCTCGTAAGCTTCTCTGCGTCATGAGTCTCGTCACTACCACTCGTCTCCACCAATACGTAGAACGGATAATCTGATATTGGATTTCTACGAAAAATGTTTTAAATGAAGATTTTTAAATGCAACAATTTTACTTTTTAATTTTACACTTACGGCAATTTAAGATTTTGTACAGTGGAGGAGATAGAATCGTTATCAGCCATTTCGAAGGCAGATAAAATTTCTCCCAGAGATGATTTAGCGCTTGCGTATAAACGAAGAACATTCTCGAAGTTTTTCACACCTGCAAAATACTTTCCGTTATTTTGAAAAATGAAAATCATTCTGTATTCATTTATTGTGAAAAAACTCGATCTGATATAAAGTTTATTTAAGGCAATGGCTAAAGGCCAACTCGCGCTTCGTTTTACTATCGTATTTTTAAAACAAAAATATTTGCGACTTTATGTATGTACTGTATTTATGCACTACTGCGGTAGAGGTCATATTAGTTAATTACAATAAATTTTATTGTATAAAAAGGTCTCTTTAAGCACATTTTAAAGGAGATTGGGTAAAATTTACCGAAAAATCCAAGTGAAACTGCTTTCGGCAGCGCAGGGCAATGGATGGCAACTTTGGTCACCACACCCAGCGTGCCTTCAGAACCAATGAACAGGTGCTTCAAGTGATAGCCCGTGTTATCCTTTTTTAAAGTTTTCAGGCAATCAATGATGGTCCCGTCGGCTTTTACCTTTGAACAATATATTTATTAATACCACTACCCTATTAAAATCTTTAATCTTAACTATTTTATATCAATACTAAGTCTCGTATGGAGTGTTCATTCCGTGTTTTAAACTAAATCTCTCTAATTGTTAAGATGAAAAATTTTAATAGGGTAATGGTATCCGAGTCTTAATATGTTTCTTGTATTGACCACTTTAAGAAATGACTGTGTTATACACTTCTCTACAATAAATGTAATATCCTCACAGCTTCAACACCTAGTACTGATCCGTGCAGGTTCCCGTATCGCAGCAGCCGCAGCCCGCCCGCGTTCGTGCTCACGTTGCCGCCGATGTGGCACGAACCTTTCGCGCCCAAGTCCAAAGGCATTATCAAATTACGCTCCCGCACATAGCTGTCCAAATTCTCCAGAACACAGCCCGACTCGCAAACTAATGCACCTGTATAAATACAAGACTTTACAGAGGGACATTTGTGGATGTTACCTTGAAAGTTTTACGATGATACATGCTAAAACTTTACTGCTTAGTTTCCAATTACTGGAACACATGAATACTGAAGTTTCTCATATTTTCTAATTCGGTACAGTATTTCTTACTTACATCAACGAGGTCAATTACATCATATTAATGAATTTGTATAATTATTTTAAAATATTCATCCCTTGCAACAGTCCACCAAAACGCCATTTGTGATGGGCAAGTTAAAATTTTACCTGAAAGTTCATCTAAGCTGATAATTTTATTCATCAGCATAAAACTGAGGACGATCTCATCGAAGACGGGCACCGAGCCGCCGACCAGGCCTGTGTTACCGCCTTGCGGACACACCGCCAACCGTTTCTCATTGCAGTATTTTAAGATTTGAGACACCTCTTCTGTTGTCTTTGGCTTTAGAACTAATTTAGATTGACCTAAATAAACATATACTTAATTGAAAATACAATTTTACAATTACAATATCAATACATCTTTAATTAATTAACGTGACTAATGGTTATTAAGTGGAAAAACAACTGAATACTTTATTTTAGCGAAGTGTCATACCTCGGCAATTTTTAATCCAGTCAATATTAAATGGGAGAATATCATTTTCATCAGTCAGCACTCTGTCTTCACTCAAAATTGTTTTAAAGTAATCTACGTCAGAAGATTGTATGTTGCCGAATTGCTTTCTTCTTACTTTGTATTTTTCCTGTTAAAAATTACATGCATTTGTGATCAAATAATAGACTTCACCTTGAGAATAATTGTCTGATACTAAATAAACGCTCATTACCTAGTGAAAAATAAAAAACGACAAGGAATTGGCCAAACAACAGTGTCCCGAAAAAAGTTATTTGTTTACCCGAACTCGAGCCTAATACAAGTAGTGTAAATCATAACTTGTAATTTGTAACGTTATGTATTGCTATTAAAATTGCATGTCATGATATTCTTTGCTGACATTATTTTAACACTTGTTTAATTAAATATACGGTTTCGTTTCTTTTCTTAACAAAGATTAATTTTGAATAAATATATGATGAAATAAGATAAGATAAAAACTATTGTGTTAAACAAGATTGTTTTTTGATAGTCGTATTTTATCTTTTTTATATTTTTAACAACTTAAAAATAATCATTGTTGAAATCTGATCTAGTCAAACATAGCAAAATGAAAAAATCATCTGAAGACATGGGTATTTTAAAAATGTCACTATATTTTCATCTTCGTTCTCCTCACTATTTAATATTAAAATCTATAATCCCCTGCCTACTCTTCTACGTAACCAAGATGTTTTTGTTTATCGAACTAAGTAGTTTTTATTTGTTTCTAAATATTTACCAATTAAAATAGCTTATAAATAAAATATATAACAAAATAAAAAGATAGTTCGAGGTCGAATTGTAGTAAATATATCTTACCGAGGACAACTGTGGTAAAATTTGTGATGCACATCTTACTTGATTCAAAATATGAGTATTTTTTAAATTGGTTAAAATCAAAGCCCATGTATTTAACATAACTTCAAAATTATTTTAAATTAAATATTATTTAATACAGTAACAGCACGGAGCAACTTATAGATAATGCTGCGTTGTTTGTTGTCTGTACGATGTAAATGTATTCTTACGTAATCCCAAGCGAGAGTTTACAGACGTATTTCTTATCTATCTATACTTCTACACACTTTTCTATATACCTATAACTATGCTATTTACATATTCGCTTAATACTTTAATATAAAAAAATATACTTCTTTGTTGTGTAAGATGTTACCAATCACAGCATATTTCTGAATCATTCTTTTTAATAAAAAGCCCTACATTACAACAGTCTACAAGTTATATATTTTCACGCTATGTAATTAGGAGGTTAATAAATTGGAAAAAAAACCCGCATATGGGAAAGGAACAAAAACTGGGACACTCCATACTTTATCTTCTACGAAAAGGGTTGCGCCCTCTATCAATGTGACCTATGAAATATTTGTGTCACAAATGTCATCGCGGTGTTGCCAATGCTACGGCAATAGCTCTGTTCCACGGATTTTCGGACAAAGGAGACAATTGGTAAACGTTAAGTTAATGTTAAAAACGTAAAATAACGACATTCACCAAATGTTGAAACTTTTTTCCTTAATTAAGCAGTTTTAAGTTTTACGGCACACCGTTCATTTCCAATACAAAGATTTTCATTGGCAATACTCTTTGCGAATTATACAGGGCGCCAAACGTCAAAATAAAATGCAAAAATATAATACAAAACACAAATTTAATTTACGTAACGTGTAAAATAAATATCCACACCTTAGGTATCGCCAAAAATGAATTCCTCGTGGCGAAGTGCTTTACCCATTTTAAGACAGTTTACAAAACAAGAAATTAGGCTAATACCCATACGTTACATTGTAAATAACCTAAGTGTTAAAAAACATTTAACTGCGGTATCTCCTGTTAATGTTAGTTATAATGTTTTTCGTAATAAATCAAAAAAGGTTTGTTAAATATATATGTTTTATATAAATTTACCGCTTTGTTTAGTAATTGTTTTTGGAATAAACAAACATCGTAATATTTTTTTAAACAGCAGACTAACGTAGATTCGGATGATGAACAAGAGGTGTTTGATGAAGATGATGTATCATTGTCTAGGGACTCAAAACTTGTTAAATTTAAAACAACTTCACTAAGAACAGATGTTGTGATCAAATCTGCTCTTGGAGTGTCTAGAAAGTGAGTATAATAAACACTGCCTTTAAGACAATTACTGTAATAAATAATACAACTAACCAAATAATAAAATACCTTACTGTTTCATCTGCAGAACAAAAGACGATAATATTTTTAAGGTGTTTCTGTAGTTTAAATTACACCAATTATATACTCGGAGTGAATACAAGTATAATTTAAAACAAATGTGAAAGCATTTCTTTCATTATTGTATTCTAAAGGCGTCTACACATAAAGGATCTTTATTTCACTATTCCTTAAATAATTTTATTTTTCAGTAAAGTAGAGCAAGTTTTCTATGAAAGTAAAATAAGAGTAAATGGGAAGAAAATAATGAAAAAGAGTCATATGGTATGTTACAAATTATTTATTTAATGGTATGATTTAATATGAATATCCATGGTACTTAAGTAAATTTTACTTTTTAAGCCTATTCTAGCTAGTGCCATTAACTACCAACAAGTTTTAAACTTTTGAAATTACCGATTTTTTTTAACACCATAGATGGTAGAGTAATGTCCTTTTTTTTACCAAAAAGGAGATTCTCAATTTATTGGTATGTTTTTTGCAGGTAAAAGTAGGAAGTGAAATAGATGTAATAAAAAGTGTCAGTCCTCACAACCCTGATCATTTATATGTGGCTCGTATTGAAGTGCTAAATATTGTTCCTAAAGAAGAAGATATAGCCATAACTGTACGGAGATTTAAAAATTTACTTATAGAGAATTATGAAGATGATCCCTACAAAAGTTCAGGAGTTAATGATTCTTGAATATAGATAAAAGGAAGAATTTTTAAAACATATTATATGATTAATATTAGTATAATTTACAAATAAACAAATTAATTTATATAACTGAGACTATCTTTTGCCCGCTCAAAGAATTAAAAAAACTTAATAAGTATCCTATGCCCTTCATGAAGAAATGTTGAGCCATTCTGGAAATACCTTCTAACAAATTTCCATCTATCCATCTAAACTTTCACATCTTACTTCTTACTTATATTATAAATGCGAAAGTTTAAATTATTAGACAACTTATTTAATTGATACTGTCGCTTTTAACTCAGAGCAATACTTCTCGTCAAGACTTAGGATGCGCGCCAGATCTATCCATACTTCTAGTGACATTGACAGCTGTCAGCTAGGGACGTGACGTTTATGCCGATAATCTAGAGTTGCGCCAATTCTATAGCACGGTACTAATTTTATTCCTAACAAAATGGATGGATGGATGTTTGGTTAAGCTTGTGTCCTAAACAGCTGAACGGATCTCGACGAAAGTCGTAGATGAGCAAAATTAAGCTACTCACTTTTGTTTTTTAATTCCACGCGGGTGGAGGACGCGAAAGCTAGTATAATATGTAACAACCACTGATCTATTGGAAATATATAACTAGATCACAATACATTCAGTAATAAAACATGAATAGAAGCATCATCACCCAAGATTTTATTATGTAAAGTGTAAGTGTCGAGAGAGAATGTAGCTTGGAAAAATCTCAATAAGAAGTAATTAAGATTTTTTATTTTTGGAAATCATATTTACAACTAAATAAAATATTGTCCTTTAACATACTCTTTGGCTTTAGATGTCAGCTGTCATGTGAGAATTTTTTTAAACTTTTATTTGGTTGACATTGACACTTGACAGGCGGTTGCTCACCACGTGTATTTGACAATATTTGAAACTTTGTTTTAAAATACACCGAAAATGGCTAAATTGAAACTAAAGAAAACTAAGAAACCAGATCAAAAAGCCGATGCCAATACCACAAAGGATGAAAACATGGTTGTCCTTCCACCAGTACGAATGTCTGATGATCCATTGCCAAAACAGGTATTTTTTTCTATTGGGAACTTTACCTTAATTAAGTAATATAACTTATTAAAGGTTATTTCATATTTTAGGTCAAATGGATAAATAGGCAGCGAGTTCTAGTGTTTGCTGCTCGTGGCATCAACCATCGACACCGTCATTTAATGGAAGATATAAAAAGATTAATGCCTCACCATAAAACTGAATCCAAAATGGAAAGAAGCAAAAATCTTTATGTTGTCAATGAAATTAGTGAAATGAAAAATTGCAACAAATGCCTTCTATTTGAAGGAAGGAAAATGAGAGATCTCTATCTATGGATGTCTAATGTCCCGAATGGTCCAAGTGCAAAGTTTTTAATAGAAAACAGTAAGTTTTAAATTTTTAACTCAATATCTAAATTGTAATAAAAGAAATTGTACTATATTTTATTTGTTCCTTATATACATTTAAAATGTTGCAATTTCACTGTTTTCCTCTAATAGTTTTAATAAATGTTGTTTAATTTCAGTTTACACAATGGGCGAGTTGAAAATGACTGGCAATTGTCTAAAAGGGTCTAGACCACTTTTATCTTTCGACCCACAGTTCACAAAGGACCCTCATTATAGTTTATTGAAGGAGCTGCTCATTCAGACATTTGGTGTGCCCCGATACCATCCTAAGAGCCAGCCCTTCTTTGATCATGTGTACACATTTATGATTCTTGATAATAGAATCTGGTTTAGAAATTATCAAATACTTTCTGAAGATGGTGCTTTGGCAGAAATTGGACCAAGATTTGTTTTAAACCCTGTAAGTATAAAAAAATAGGTATAGAATTCTTGTATTCTTTTTTCATGTCACTTGAATATCATTATTTCTAATTTTTTTTGTCCATAGGTAAAAATATTTTCCGGATCTTTCGGTGGGACAACATTATGGGAGAATCCTAAATATGTCAGCCCTGCAAAATTAAGACAAGCTATGTCAAAGAAGGCGGGTAACAAATATGAGAGGAGAATTGAGAAGAAGGCAATGCATGAAGCAACCAAACCAGAGACTGGGTATCCGGACATAGAGGGTGCTGACTTCTTTAAAGGAGATCCTATGGAGCAGGCTGAAGAGGTGGTAGTTAAAGGTTAGTGTTATACTTATATTGTGATAATGATGTTAATGTTTTTTAATATTATTAGGTATCAAATTAGCAAATGAGGCAGTGCCAGCACAGATTTACAGAAGTAGTGAAAAATTGCTATCCATAGACAATCAATAGATAATAGACCCAAAACTGTACAGAAACACAATTTCAGTACTTTTTACTTCTATTATTTGTATAGCTTGATTATGTATAGTATAACTTTTAGCAAAAAAATCTCATTTTGATTATTTTTCATTTTTTGAGACATCAACGATTGTATCATTAGATAATTAAAGTGAATCATAATTAACTATCAAATATATTTGTATTTTCAGAGGAAGTAAATGATGAAGCTGATGTAAGTGGTGATGAAGAGGTTGATCATAGTGATGATGAAGAGGTTGACGCGAGTAATGATGAAATTCCAGAAACTAAAAGAAAACCCAAGTTTAATATGAAACTTAATAAAACCAAGCCGGAGAAGACAATAAGAAGAAAACAGCTCAAAGCAAAAAGCAAGGCTATATCAGATCAAATTAAGAAGAGGAAAAATAAACAGTTTAAGAAGAAATCTGTAAAATCCTGAAACTTTTCAAAGGTTTTAAATAAATGAAAAACTCAAATATTGCAGTTTTATTTATTATAAAGCATAAAAAAAACATTGATATACATTTTATCATTTAATGATTTAACAATGGAAGAAATTATTATGTGAGGTAGACAAAATTAACAAATGTACTTTTAATTGCATTGATTTTATAATTATTATCTTGATATAATCAAAAATAATTGTTAATTCCATTTTACATTTAGTTAAAATAGAGTCATAAATAAAATTAATAATAACATAGCACAATTTCGTAAATAATAAATGTAAAAGGAATAATTAACGTTGTTATAAAAAAAATGAGAAAGACAACACGAAAATGAGGTCAACTTTTGTATTATTCCTACAACATTACTATTACAAACACCATTATCATAAAACTGTAAAAGCTTTTTTCCATCATGTAAAAAATTACTGATAAAATGGCAGAACCAAATGGCATTTTGAAAATTCACAAAGTAAATATCACGTCGAAAACACCTATAAAATTACACACGTTGCATGTCATTTATTAATAATTTCTAGAGTTTACTTAGAAAATAAAGTTGCCTTATATTTCAATACACATCCAACGTTAACATTTAAAAATATTATGGACGGTAAGTATGAGACTTCTTAAAAACTTATTTGGAGTTGATTTCGGAAGAGTATAATATTGAAATTAAAACTAATAAAAATTAAAGCCTCTATTCCTAAAAAAATAAAAGATCTAAAAATGATTGTGCAAAGTTTTTTTTTCAAAGTCTTTTTTTTAAGCAACAAAAATATTTCTTCACTATTCTAAAGAATTCGAGATTAAGAGTATATATTTTAGAAATATTGATAAGATTAAAGAATGTCTTATATTCAAAAATGATATTTCTTAAAATATAAAGATCTTCAATTAGTTTATAAAAAATTTAAATTGTTGAATACAACATTGAGAGTATAAAATGCCTTAGAAATGTTTATTTTTATCATCAAAAACGTCGTTTATTAAAATCATCTGTTTAAAAGTTTACAATATAATGTGTATTATTAAAAAGTGATTATGTTATTAGGTCCATAGGAATATTAATATTTTATTGATAGAAATTCAAAGCATACCATAGTTATAACTGAGCATTATTTAAAAAGTGAATTAAGATCGAATTAATTAAAAAAAAAACTTATACTAAATATCAACTTATATGTTTCCTTAAACTATAAATTATTAAAAAACATATCAAAAAATTGTATAAAGCAAAAGCAAAAAAACGTAAACTATGTCTTAAATGTTAATTGAAATTGTCGCCTACGTAATTGTAGACTGATTGGATGTTAAATTTTACTTGGGTATAAAGACCCAATTGTCCTAAGATTCCTGATTATCGATGTTTCGTCTTAATTCAATATGCAGTCTATACCTGGACAGAGCAGTTAGTCAGTAACGCCTTACAACTGGAACGGCAATCAACTGGCATAACGTAAACACTAACTGGCGCCAGTGATGTCATACAATCTGTAACTGGCCGACGCAACTGTCTATCTGTACAGGCCAAGTGTGAACCGTGCAAAATATCCGTCTAGTCCAGTCCAGTAATCATCTATGGGAATTTACCTGGAAAAATAAAATAACATCATAATAAAAGGCATTTTTTTGTAAAAAGGCTAATAATCATTTCATGCATCGACGGTTATTTAGTTCTTTTATATGACTGTTAACATAAATAATGTAATATAAGGTATATTAACAAAAATCTATTTTTTTAAGACAAAAAAATTGCCATGACCAATAAACCTATAGACAACAACGGACATACATGCATAAAACTCACGATATTAATACTTGTGTTGTAGTCCCTGCAGCTCTGCGCCGTCTTGCTCAGTGTCGTTGTCGGGGCGGTGTCCGCCGAGCTCGGCCAGGCGGGAGGACTTCCAGCGACCCTCCGCGTTGTTCATGTTGCGGTCCTCGCACACGCACAGGAACAGGGAGTCCACCACCATCTGTTATACACATTATATCATTGTTATTTCAGTTTAATTTGCCCTGAACAATCTGTAATCATACTATTCTTATAAATGCGAAAGTATACATGGATATTTGTTAGAGTTGCCTAAGCTACTAAACAGATCTCAATGAAATTTGACACTTATTTTTTTTTAATTCCACGCGGACAGAGTCGCAGGCGAAAACTAGTCTATACTAATATTACAAAGATTGTATTTTTGTATGCATTTAAATAACTTAAACACTACTGGGCTGATTTTTAATTCTTTCACCGTTAGAAAGGTAATTTATCTGTGAGTGATGACCTAGGCTACTTTTTTCAATTGCTATTCAATTTCCCGCAGACGAAGTCGCAAGTAACAGCTAGTATAAAATAAGACATAAATCGTTCAAAATAATAAGATAGAAAGTTAGAAATTCTTACCAACTTTTTACTAACAAATTCTATAAAAATTAGACAAACACTACTAAAGATATAAGTATATTTATAAAATTTGATTATGATTTAATAATTGTTAAGAAAATTAGCCGCTATATATGTAGGCATGAACTGCGAACTGTCGGTGGGTTTAAAACATGAACCATAGACATAGTAATTTCTATTTTTTTTAACCTATAATATGATTGCATACTATTATTTTACTAAAAAGTACATATTCCATACAAACCTCGTAAAGCGAGAGTATGCAGTGGGCGATCAAAAACGAGAATATACAGATGAAGAGTGTGGGCACGGCATAGAAATGCAAGTCGTTGTTCCTCTTGAGCAGCAGCAGGCCCACGATGCCGGTGAGCGCCGTCACGATGCACTTGCCCAGGAACAGGATGAAGTCGCCCACGCTGTTGATGGTCGCCACTTGCAGCGCGTTGTTCACTATCGTACTGAACGCCTATAATAACACATTACTAAGTGTCGCAATTGGAACAAACCTACGCAAATCTCATAAACATACAAGAATTTACTGTATTTTATTGAGTAGTTAATCTGTCAACTCCCACTTCAACCTATTTACTTCTGACTGATGGATGGATGTTAGAAGGTATCTCCTCATCTGAATGGATCTTCATGAAATTTGGCATAGATATAAAGCATAGGCTCAACCATCTCTTTTTAAATTCAGCGCGGAGTCCCGGATGAATTCTAGTATTAAATACTTCTTAAAATGTTGGCAATCATATTTGATGATTATGCAGTTCTCATTTGTTAACCTCCTTCAATTATTAACGATGACTCCTTTATCTAATTAATGTTTTTTTTAAGAAAACCCTTAAACTAAGGGTGATCAATAATTTTTCGTTCCTTCTTTTAAAAAGATACAAAATGTCACATCGCCAGTTCACAAAAGGTTAAGTTATTATCGTCATTGTCCCTTTATCATTACCCTAATGTAACCTTTATTTAACAAAACAGCATTAAACAATTAACTAAAGGTTTCTATACCATGACAGTTTAACATTTTGCATAAAACAACATTGTCTACATAAATATAACCTTTTGTGAGTAAATATTTTAACACATGAATATTTGTATTAATAAGGGTTTCTGAATTAGCTGTTACCTTTTATAAAGCTGTTTTATCAAATAGAATATCTCAGTGTAAATATTGTTAGTAATCAACTCACCCTGGCAGCGGCTTTACAAAAGTGACATCTCTCTATAGTGATGATGGTGTACGCATTATGATTGAGATAGCGAATAAACTTCTCCAAGCAGTAGAAGCAACAGATTCCACATTTGAGACCGCACTTCGCACATTCTGAACCCTTCTCGGCTCGCGATGATAGCCTGAAAATACATAACAATTGAAGTATCTCACTAATATTATAAATGCGAACGTTTGGATGTATGGATGGATAAATATTCCTACGCATTTCCAAGACGATATAACAGATCTCGATGATATTTGGCACAGATGCATAACATAGTCTGGAGCTTAGAGGCATAGGCAAACTACGTATTTTTTTAATTACGCGCAGAGTCGCGAGCGAAAGTTAGTAAATAAAATTACATGGTATATCCTAATAAAAAAAATTACGGTAACTTATACGGCAATTGAGAACAATTTGCAATCTACAAGCTACTAAGTAATATGGTACCAGCCTCTCAGCGAGATTAAATAAAAATTATGTAATTCGCAACATAATTCCGATAATCGTTTTTTTCCAAAGAATTTTCAAAAGACGCCTATGAAGAATTCTAAATAAGTAGGTCTTATATGATATACATGTAAAAAATTGCAATAAGACAATTTTTTCTTCAAAAATATGAAGAGGAAACTCTCATATGCTTAGTGGACCTTTCGCTAAATATACATGAATGAAGTTCCTTAGTTTTCGTTAAGATAATTGAGAATAACCAAAAAAAATGTTTCTGATAATGTAGTTATGCACCTGTTGGCTAAATTATCGGTTTTCTATTTTCCTATGTAATTGTGTGATTGAATTAGCCGTTGTGGACTCATTTAAAAAAATATACGATGGAAGACATATTTTTTGTTAGCGTGTAGGCATTACGATATGTATTATTATTGTAACCTTGCGACTGAGTCATAGATGTAGGTCGCTTACGTACACCTCGACTCTGAATCACATTACATTATTACTTCCGCGCTATTTATTCACATCCTTTTCTTAAAAACAAGTTCATTTGTTTTCATTATTATTTTATTGAAAGTAAATAGCTACATTAAAATGAATACGTCGGCGCAACAAAGTAGCATAATTTTAGTTAAAATGAATTTGAAAATTATTCATTATAATTTTTTTATTATACTTATATTATAAATGAGAAAGTTTAGAGGGATGGATGATTTTTTAGTGTTTGTAGCCTAAGCGGTTGAACGGATGTCGATGTAATGTAGAATAAACGTACAGTATAGTCTGTAAGAACATATAGGATATTCTGGTCCCAGTACATAACAAGAAATAATAAAAAATTAAAACATCAGTGTATTAAAAATAATACTGCTATACATACTTTGCATGTAAATATGTGAGAATAAGCCTGGGGATCTTGAACAGCGTGATAAGGAAGGATCCTTTGGCCACCGAACCCAAATGGTACTTCAAAAGTTTTCCTATTGAATACAACACTGGCGAAGGATGCGCATTGGGGCCCCTGAAAAACAGTAAGTATTATTATCAGAATAAAAAATATTTTATGAAATATACAATATATGTGCAATTAAGACTTCATTGGTAATCCAAGTTCAGGTTTTCTATATAAGTGGTGGGTATTTACCTGAAGTACCAATGTGAGACAGCACCCGCAATGGTCATCTGCTGGCAGCCGAGGATGAACTCGCTGCCCCACACCAGGCAGACAAGGCACATCCACCACATGCTCTTCACCCATAGAGGATCAAACTCTATCTGGTCTACAAACAACATCATAATTTATAATTTTTATAAGTGGTATTTGAGTTGGCACCTCAGAAACAAAAATATTCATACGGGTGATGTGCCACCTTAAGCCCTTCATACTACAGTTGATTACAAAAAGACTAATGCCTCAAATAGGAAACAATATCAGTTACTTGCTATATACTAGGCTATGTCCAGCTGTTCTTATATTCATCCAATTTTCCTCTATAATAACTACGCAAAAATGTATTACCCCCTAGTGAATTGATGAATAAATAACGCAAATGCGCCTTAATATATACAAAAAAAAATGTACTTGACTCACATTTCAAGCTAGTTTGTGCTTGTACTGCGGCATTGTCGATACGGTCTGGCGATCCAGTGCCATTGATGAAGAAATTGGTTTTAAATGGTATACCTGGATAGTTAGCTGTGGCTAAACACACCTAAGGACAAGTTCAAAATTCATTGTACTATTCTTATTAAAATTATAAGTGCAACAATATAGATGGATGGATGAATAGATGTTTCTTAGAGTTTGTAATCTTAACTGCTAAACAGATCTTTATGAAATTTGGCATGGATGTAGAGGGTAGACTGGAAGAACATTTAGGCGACCTGTTTTTGTTTTTTTGAATTCCTCGCCGACAGAGTCGCGGGCAAAAGGTAGTAGTCTCATAAAAATCTTACAAATATTTACATAACAAATTAACTAATTACTTTAAACTTTCAATAGTAATTAAATATATTAATATTAATTATTGGTACTAACTTACCACAATAATTGACCAAAACGCAAAGAATATTACAAGGAAAAAGAATGTTACAATAGGCTGCAGAAATAGTGCAGGTATTGAGCCAAGACAATGTGCTGTCTCCTTGAATAGTGCAGCCAGGAATGATACTCGGGAACGCATCACAAACACCAGCAACAATAAGATTACCTAAAATATTTCAGTATATAAACAATAGTAGTTGAAAACACTAAAATGTGAACAATCAATTTAAAAATTCAATGAGACGAATGTAAAAGAAAGATTTTTACTTACTGTTATAATAGTAGCAATTATTGAGTACCATAAAAATGCCTTTTCATTCTTTAATGATTCCTAGAAAATTGAGCATACATATAAGACCAATTTTAAATTCACAATTCAAAGTTTATCCTAACATTTACTGTTCTGTTCATACTATATCACACTAGACTATAGTACTTAATATACTTACAGCTAAGAACAGTGTTTCAGTAAAATCTTTTTGTTTTGTCCGTAATTCATGATATGTGTACCAGAGAAGTCCTGTCCCTGCAATACTCACAATGGACACAAGTATCATGAATATCCAAGACACGAGTGTTGCAAGTAAATGCAGAATTGATACCATTATTAATGAACATACTGCAAAATATAAATGAAGTTAACAAAGTTTAACATTGTGTTGTATGTATAATTACATGCAAACACTGGATAATAGTTAATACTTACTAAATGCAATTATAACACAGATAATCATTTCTTTCCATGAAGAATAAAGATCTGATAGCATTTGCTCTATAGTATCCCAGCTGTTCAAGAGATCATAGAAATCTGTGAATACTTTTTCTGCTATCTCCTTAGCTGATTTGGGGAAACATCTGTTCAGCAATGGGAATGATTCGTACACAGGCAAGGTTGGACAGGGACCAATAAAATTGTGCAGAGCATTTGAATTTATCACATTATTTAAATCTATGTCATATCTGCAAACATTCGATCCCGTTTCTCTGTAAAAGTTTTGAATGTCCGTCAATGATTCCAATTTCTTTTTTGGACATTGCTTTACACATATCTTTAGTGAACGTCTTAATTCTTTTATGTCCATAAAAAATAAATAAGGCTTGTCGGCAGTGCTTATACCAGACAAGGTATAATTTAATAACTTCTTGTTACTCTTAACACCACACGTATTACCGAAGGAATCATATCCATTTATGAGTCGTTGTGGGTTCCCATACACGAATGATATACACGCAATTATTAACTGCAAAGCATATTAAAAATGTATTCATCGAATATTTAGTGACATTTTAAAGCAAATTAATTAAAACGTACCATTAGTATCCAAAACACAATGTAAATAACAAGCCACAAAACATCAGTACAACCTTTTCTCGGTGTTTCATTTTGAGGCGAAATTTCACTTTGGGTACAGCCCATTTTCCTTTATTTATAAATATTTGCTATTTCACACTTTTCGCCATACAAATTAACATTTAAACGGTGTTGCTCGTTTTGAAAGAAATCAGGTTTACAGAAACCAAAATTTATTTTTTACATTTAAAATGAGTTCACAAAATCGCAAGGGTGCGGCAGCAGGAAGAGCAAGCGATTGTTATTGTTTGGTAAATTCTATTTGGTAAATGTTGGTAAATTGTACTAGTGATGATTAACTCGAGTTCGTAACTCGAGTTGAGCGTAACTCGAGTCGACTCGAGTTGAATTCTCTATAACTCGAGTTCGAAAACCGAATGCAACCGACATGGAGCGAAGTTTGACCTCTGTGAAGTTAGCCCCCTCACGTCCTTTTCTTTTTACTTTTTTTTATGCAAATCGTTTAAAAATTGTTAGAGAGGGTTTGAGAGAAAATAAAATCGTTTGAGAGTTCCTCCGTAAAAGCAATTTAAATTTTTAACGTGAAGTTGGCACCCACACTTGATTTTTTTTTAATTTTTCTCATACAAATCGGTAAAGAATCGTTGAGAAAAAGACTGCTATATAATTTCAGTTTATATGACAGTAAATTTTATTTTTATTTAAATTCAAGGCAAAAATACTTGAAAAACGATTCGATTTGAAACAATAACTTTTTTGTTTCTTTATTTAGTAGGTATAACTCTCCCAATAAATTATAAATAAATAACTTAAAAAATGAAGAATTGAAACAGATAAAAATATAATTTGTCTATTCCAACTTTATGCCAAGCCGAGGGAGTAATTTGGAAAAACCCAAAAAAACATTTACTTGTCCATCCAGTTAACTCGAGTTCAACCCGAGTTACGTGGTTTTTAACTCGAGTTACGTTTTTCCAGAGTTGGCACATCACTAAATTGTACCTTGACGCGTTATGTGATTGGCTTGGGAGGACGGAATTTTGAGTGTTGCATGATTTACGGGTAGCATTTTACAATTTAGGAATATTTTTAGTGTTTATTTGGCTACACAAATTGTTTATTGTCAGTTGATGGAAAATTAAGACTACTTTTTTCACACGTTATAAAATAAAGGTATTTTCAAAATTATTCGATCTGCGATATTGTAAAATATTTTACCTTCTACTGCATATGTATTACCCCAAATTGTTAAAAAAATACATATCAAACACTCAACAATACCTAGGTACAACATTAACATTTTGTGTTTAATCATTTTTTTGAAGTCCAACAACAAATTATTACCATTGAAGACTTTTAACATCACAAGTCAAAAGTAAATTAATTATTGAATTATTTATTTGTCAGATACATATTGTAATGTACATATGGTTTTTAATAAAATAATTAATTATATGAATAATACACATTTTTAATAAAAGAAAGTTGTATCATCTTAAACTTTATTTCTAATAAGTTATCTATAATTATGTTCTATTTTAATTACATGAATCCATTCATTTCTTAATATATTTTAAATATTTTTTAGCATTATAGTTATCTTCAATTGTTTCAGTGATTTTGACCTTTCGCTTTGGCTTTCTCCTTTCTAATCTTACTCTCTTCTCCTCCTCTGACAATAATGACATATCCAATGGCAGCTGAAACAAATTATGCAAATTAAAAGTTTTACAGTTTTTGGGGTAGTTTATACATTTTTCTTAATGCTAAAATAACTAATGAATAAGAGTAAAGAAAGGCAGTAGTAGTAGCATACCAAGTAAGTACACATTTAGATTATTAACAATATATAGAAAAAAGGGTTAAGCAGCGGCAGGATGTCTTAAGAAAGAAAAGTTGATATTACCTTGATAATTTTTCTTGGTTCATGATACCTTATGTTAATTGACGCCCCATCAGGTAGAACTATGGTTGTAGGATACAACCTAGCATAAACTTCTCTGTGTACCTTTGTTATACTTGCTACATTGTTATTTAAAAATCTGTTTATTGAAAACGATGAAAAGAGGTGCCTGGATTTTAGCAGTATATTATGATTTATGTTTAACATAATGACCTGAGGTTTAACTATTAATAGTTAAAAATCTGAACTTTACTAACCTATTGAAAACAAATGAACTGTCATTTATGATTTAATTGACATTTTGTTGTAAGTTGTCACATGTGTCAGATGGACGTTTGCCCAAAGAGTAAATGGGATCTTAATGGAATTCTTGAAAATCGATATCGGCTGACTGGCAATGGCAACATTACCAGTTTTAATGTCATGAGTTAATGCTTGGTTATATTTAATTTTAACTTAACGATACCGATTTTAGTCTTGTATTATTCAACTTAACACGGTACAATTTTGTTGTTTAATTTTGTGTTTAGTGCGCGTAAATACTATTGTAACGTATATTAATTGTTATTCCAGAAGTGCAGTGATTATGACATCTATGTAACCTCTTCACCTTACGTAAGGCGCAATAAAGATGGGTAACAAAGTTTCAGCAGAGGCAGTACATATAAAATCAGAAAAAAATGATAATCCTCCGCCAGAATGTCCTATGCATAATAAGGCAAATGATGCCACAAATGCTAAAACTACACCTTCAGAATGTCCAGTGCAACATAGCAAGAACGATATTAATCCATACAACATGGTACGTAAATTCGTAATTTAATTTGAAAATTACGATGTAAACACTATAAAAAAAATAGAAACAAACTAACTGAGTATTAAACATTGCAGATGCCTCCAGCAAACCAACAGCCAGCACCAGACCAACCATTTCCCCTTCCAACAAATCGACAAGTATCTACAATTCCAAGGGCAATGCCGGATGGCTCAACTGAGTTTTGGGTTTACCCCAGCCAACAAATGTTTTGGAATGCTATGCTTCGTAAGGGATGGCGTTGGAAGGATGATGAAATCAAGCAGAAAGATATGGATGATATTATTCGCATACACAATGCAAACAATGAACAGGTAGTAAACAATTTTATTTACTTAAATAAATATATATTCATAAAATGTATAATATAAACTATGTTTGTAGGCTTGGCAAGAAGTGTTGAAATGGGAAGCACTACATGCTAAGGAATGTGGACATCCCAGATTGAAAAGTTTTGGAGGGAAAGCAACTGATTACAGTCCAAGGGCCAGATTTCGTTCTTGGTTGGGGTAAGCTTCTTATTTATAATAGATAAAACTATATACAAAATTGAAAAGAATATCCTAAAAAAAGACCTGTTGGTTATATTTCTCGAGAAAATTGTGTTATAACACTAACTAGAACTTAATATTCAAATACTAATTTTATATCATTTCCTAAATTGTTATTTCAGGTATGAACTTCCATTTGATCGTCATGACTGGATTGTAGACAGATGTGGAAAAGATGTGAGATATGTTATTGATTATTATGATGGCGGGGAAGTGGACAACAAATATCAATTTGCTCTCCTTGATGTCAGGCCAGCAATGGACTCCTTTGAAAATGTATGGGACAGAATGAGAGTTACATACATGAGATATCGTTATGAACTGTTAGGAAACAAGGAAAATACAAAATTGACTAATTAACTTTATTCTGGTAGAATGTTTTAAGTTATATGTTTTATTTACTTAAATTGTGTTCTTAAATGTTACTTCACATAGTAAGATTTCATTGTTATGTGGGGTTCCTTTGTCGGCAAAATTTGTCACTGCAGAAACTCTTTGTGATTCTAATTTCTTGTAATATAATTCGGTTTTAGTGTCATAGTATTAACCCTTGAAAATTAGTCTTAAATGATTGCTTCTCATGTTAGATTATAGAAATAAGTAATCATGAAAGCTGATTAAAACATTATTTGTTATTACACCATACAACTACTAGCTCATTGTTTTATTTATACTCCATACATGTGGTAATAATAAATATTTTAGTAAATAGCCTGTGTTCTTCATCTGTAGAAATATTTAATAAGATCTGTTAAACCATCTTAGAAATATGTAAACTATCCAACCATCCAAATATTAAACAGATAAGATTGATTCAAGGTAAAATAGGAATAAATTTTGGTTATGTAAATTTGCCCTCAGAAGTTGATATTTTTATATTTTTAAAAAGTTATGAGTGATGAAACAATTCACATGACTGATTTTTCACTATTATAGCACATATTGAAATTGAAAACACTGTTATTCAATTAAAATTTAATTAATTAATATACTTTACACTTAATAACATTTAATTCTCCATATTTGAAACCTGAATGCTTGGTACAATACCTTTACACTCATTTTTGAATATCTCTACTTGTTGCTCAATGTATGCTTCAAAATTTTTGTATGGGCAACCAGGTAACATTTTGTGTTTTGGTTTACCCTTGCTGCTGTGATAGACAGATCGCAATGTTAAAATTGGCGGCTTTTCTGGAAAGTGAATACCTGCAATATTAAGAAAAAATTAAATATTTGCCTTATGTATAAAAACACATTAAACTTATTAAAACACAGAATAAAAGATTCGATAAAAGTTTAAAGCATAACATAATAATAATAAGTTTTGTTATAGAGTTAAAATAGTCATTGCTTCTATACTTTTTACATTAGGATAAGTAGGCTTTTGGATAGAAAATTACTATACCTATATCAATTTGTAATATCCAATAAAAGTTATTCATTTCAAAGAGAAGAGCAGCACTGTTAGCATCATGTTCCAAAACTGCACCTTCATATTTCACAATAAGTTGTGCCAAAAGCCCCCTTTTTAATTTATCATTGTTTAGTAGATCTTGAATCTGTAAACACATTTTGTTATATAATTTAACAGAAATAAATTAGGACAACACTGTTATTTTTTTTAGTACCTTACTATTTAAAAGATCTGTAACCATGGGCACATAATCCATTAAAACTCCTGATTGATGCATTCTGTAATTAAAAATACATTATTTTTTATCTATAGATACATTATGATTTCCTTTTAGAAGTCTTTTTTTATAATTTGGATGTAAAATATTCCATACTTACAAAGGTAGAGTTATATTCCCAATACATTTTGACAAAAATGGTGACAACATGAGTTCTGCATTTGTGGAATTAGGATATCGAACTAGCATTAAGGCTGTATCAATGCCTGGATTATTTTCAGTCCTACAAAAGTTGAAAAAAATGTTAATTTTATACCATAATATATAGACCACATAATTATCATAAAACATACCCATCATTATACAACTCTGGTAATCTGGATGTGTCTACTTTTAATTTTATTAAAAATTCAGCTGTATGTCCTAATACATAAACTTCAATATCTTGTTCAGAGGTAAATCCATTTCCTAATAGGGCACTGTACTCAAAAGATGCACGGGATTCATCATCCTCATTCAGCTTTTTAATCTAAAAAAAAATTATATTAACTTGAAAAATAATATCATATTCACACAATAGTATCCTACATAGTACATGCCTTACCTGATGTGCTTTGTATAATTTTATTAACTCATTTATAACATTGCATAATGCATTAGGATCATTACCATTCCAATTGGCAAGGCTGGGAACATTTTTAGTAAGAAATTCTTCATCTGGATTATTTAGGAAACTGTCATCATCAAACCGAAAGTCAGGGGCGAACCAAGGAGTTGATGCATCAAATATGACTTCCCATTTTAACTTTCTAGAGCAGTAAGGTAAAACTAAACGAAATTGAGTTTCAGCTCCATCAGAGCTACTCCCAATTCTTTCTAAGTCAACTTTAGCTTTGCATAATCCTGAAAAGTTAAATTAATATCTACAATAGCTAATATGATACATTGAATATAATCTTTGCTTTTACATTTGTATTTATTTTTATATGTATTGAAATATCTAAAATTACTGGGCCGATTTCTGCGAGGAACAGAGGGCAAAAATATTTTGACTGTCCATAGGGTTTATTTAAATTTTTGTTAATCTATACTCACCTAGTTCCAAATCATTATACAAACTTTGTATGTAAGGCTTAAATACTGGAGAAATTTCACATAACAAAGTACTGTTTTCCGTTTTCATTGTTTTTGACCCAAGTTTTTAATGTAATATATAAAGTTGTAATGTACTGTTACTGTTTATTTGGGTTGTGTTTATTACTGCACAGGATTAGTCGCTCCAAATGACAGGTTCAGAAAAGTCTAATTTATTTTAAGCCATGGTTATAATTATTGTATAATTAGTAAAAAGGAAAAGATCAAATTAAGAAAGAAATTAAGATATATTTGACAAATGGTTGACGATGTCATTAGAACATTTTCTGACATTTTCTGATTTTTAAAGATTTCAAAGAGCAATAGACCTCGGTTAAAAAAGTGTAACACAAAACAGCAACCTATTAGCCTTCATTATTTAAGAACCTGATTGTAAAATTCATATTAATAAGTATATTTGGTTATTCTGGTAATTAGTAAACACTCCAATAAATACAAATATCAAAGAAAATTTACTCTGTTTCAACAGATTATGTTATTCGCATTTAATATTTTATAATCTGCGTTCTTATGTTGGATTTTGATTGGTTCCGTCAGGTTCATAATTTTCATTTTTCGTTTTATATATGCTAAGGGAGTGATGAATAATTTTCTGTGAGTGTGTAATAACATATAAATTTTATCGCCCAATTTGAGTGATACAAAATATGAAAGACATGCATTCGGTACTTCAGAATCAATTTTCGGAACTTACAAAATTAGCCAGAAAATTCAATTGTTTCTACCTGTCAGGTATTACATTGTTTTGCTTGTATACGAGTTAAATATAAACATGAAATTAACGTACATTTATTATTGTGTTCAAGGGTTACATGAAGGCATATGTAAACCGTTTGTAGTCGCAGGTCACCAAGTGGGTTTAATTCGACCAGATGTTATGAAACATCTTCATAGATTTCCTGAGGTAAACAATTTTCGACGTTGTGCTTAATTTCAATCGGCATTCTAATATCTTGTTAGATTCTTCTCGCTATTGCCGCAAAACAAAATAAGCAGCGCTTTATATGCAATGAAACATTTCACTTGTTTTAGGTGTTTGTTATTACTGGAAAGTTTGTAGAATTAAATCCGGCTTTCAGAGGATATAAAGAGAGGACTTCGAAGGTAGCTGATGTTTTACAGGCTTTACGCAAAGAGAATGAAATTTGTGCATTAAAAGGTTGGAGAGATGAGGTAGGTTTTTTATTATTCTACTCATATAAAAAGCCTGCTTACTTCCATTACCAGATCTTCTGAGTTTGTGAAGTAGGAAATTCAAGACTTACTGTAGGCAACACTGCTAGTGGGAAATAACCCAGAGTAACAAATATATTATACCCAACCCTTGTATAGTTCATTAATATATTTTTATTCAAAGTATGTTTCTTTCAGTGTTTTGAAGTCAGTACACCATTTTATCATGAAAGTCTCCTGGAAATGGATAGAAGTGCTATTTGTCTCTTTGGTATTAGGAACTATGGAGTTAGCGTAAATGGTTATTTGACACATCCCACCAAAGGACTTTGCATCTGGTTACAGCAGAGAAGTTTCACAAAGCAAACATGGCCTGGTAAGAATTTTAATTAATGTATCATAATTATTAATTCATTTATCCTTGAATACTACAAGAAACTACTAATTCTTATGTGTTAAGTAAGAAGTTTTGTTGTGCACATTTTGTATACAAATGACAGCAGAAGGTAACATTTACAAAAGATATCAAAAAACTATGAAGACAACATGAATGTTTATTTAGTTTGGTTTAGGAAGTTCAAAGTTCTAAAACCATGATATTGTTAATTGTATTGTAAATTGTGTGCTAAATACTTATCAGTAGATTATATCTCACCTTTTTTATTATTAAAATCAATAAGCTCATAAACTGATAATACAATCTTGCCGCAATTAAAAAAATAATATAGATAAATATAGTAATAATTAGAATTGTTTAGTGCTAAATAGCATACTGGTCTAGTATCAGGAAAAAAAAATTCATGTATTTACATTGCTGATAATGAAATCTGCTTTTGTACATAACTCAGATATTTTTAAAACCAAATAGTATAGGTTATTTTGTAATTCTGCGCTGACAAAGTTGCAAGTGACCATTTGTGTATTTTTGGTTCTATGGTTTCTGCAACTCTTGTCTTTGTTTACAGGAAAGTGGGATTGTTTTGTCAGTGGTGGTCTTGCAGTTGGCTATGGTATTCAGGAGACTGCTATCAAAGAAGCAGCCGAGGAAGCTTCAGTTGTCGGTGATTTGGTCAAGAAATTGGTGCCATCTGGATGTGTAAGGTATGTCAAAAAATTGCTTCAATATCTGTTATCTTCAAGGAATTATTTCTAAAAAAGGATTATTGCCAACCGCCACCCTGCTCTGTCCACATGTGAGAATAAAAAGTTTCATCAGTCCCATTATCATCAATGAAATGACAGATGAACCAGTGTAAAATAAAATAAGTTCCAACCGGCCTTCATTGTAAAAGGTGGGACAGATGGAACTTTTTATTCTCATCTATTCCCACATGGGGACAGAGCAGGCTGACGGTTGGGAATAATCCTAAAACAATAACATTGATTTCAGTCTAGTTTATCTACTATGGTTTGTTAGAATTAATGTAGTATGTTAGTAGTTCCAAAATTGATTTTCTTTCTTCTTTTGAGTTCTCAATAGGTCTGTTTTTTTCTTGTTTGGTTGTTATACAAAAAATTGTTCTTTTTCTCTGATTTTCACAAGAGCTATGTGTAAAATTAAAACATGTTAACATAAAAAATGACCATATTTAATTACATGTTTATTTGATTTCCAGTTTCTTCTTTGAAAGTGAAAGGGGTCTATTTCCGAATACGGAATATGTATATGATTTAGAACTTCCATTTGATTTTGTTCCTCAAAATGCTGACGGTGAGGTGGAGAGCTTTGAACTGTTGACAGCGGAGGAATGCATCCAGCGGGCATTGAGTCCACAGTTCAAAACTACCAGCGCTCCAGTACTTCTTGACTTTCTGATACGGAAAGGATATATTAATCCAGAAAATGGTATGTTAATATGACTATCTATTTGATTGCTCATTTCGATTATTTAACTTTTTTTAATTAACAATTTTTTTAATATTTTTTATCAAATGTGCTTGTTTTCCAAATTAGAATGGTTTTAAAGATATATTAATTTGCAAATTAATCCATTGCTTGTTTATAATAATATGTTTTATATTACAGAGCCTCATTACCGACATATTGTGGAGTTGTTACATGTTCCATTGCAGTCTATATACAACTGGCCATACACCAATGTAACTACTAACGGAGACGGCAAGGAATAACACCTTATTCCCATTTAAATAAATTCTCTAGATATTATTTTAACAAAAGTATATATAATGAATAAGAAAGTTTTTACAAAACAAGAATACCAGTGTTATTTTTCGTGTGATTTTTATTTGGCCTAATTTATATCCGATAGTTGTTTTAATCATTGGGGTAGGCTTAAAGTATTACCTACTTCCTTTTCTTTCATATCTCTCACTTAAGAACACTTTGACCAAATTCTGTACAGTCGGCTGTATAAACATGTACACACTAAAAAAACTTTAGAAATTGGTACAGGCATATGGTTTCAAAAATACACATGCACATATTCTTAGGAAGCAAATGGGTGGATATGTGTATAGATATTGAAACTAAGTGTTTACTAGTTTCTAAAGCTTTGTAATTGAATACATATTTATACAGCTGACTGTACTGTAGTTTAGTAGTTGGGATGTTAGATATCACGATAGTTTAGCTAGGTATGCTTAATTTCTGTGATACTTTACCAGTTTGGTATAAGGGATTTGTATAATTTTTGTCGGGTTTTTGTCATCTATATAAATACCTTTACCAAGATTAAGTATTTATTATTTGTATTACAACTTTAAGTTAAATAGAACATTACAACGCATGATTTATTTGTATAAAATATCAGTTAACATTATTAAAAGAAAAATCATCTGTTGATCAGAAATATATTAAAACTAGTCAAAACATGGTTAATTAAGACCGGTGTGTCGGCTTAAGACGTTAAATTGTTTTCGTTTTAATTTTAATGTTAGTTTACAATTTAAATATATTAACGAAAATGATAATTCGTAGCACATTTTGTCAAATAGGCTACTTATAAAAAAAAAGTTTTAAATCACGAAAGGACACTGCCATATTGATATATGAAAATTCACAAGTTAAATTGAAATACGAATGTAAGACTTAGATAACTTGATCATATATATGCGAGGCCTATTTTAAATCTCCTTTCCCTTCTCATCCTAATAAAGGATGGGAAGGTAAAGTGGATTTGGCGGTGGTGGGGACACATAAAACTATCATCTTTGTGTGCTTCCGATCTATCGTTGATTAAAGTTAGGCAACGGTTGCTTCGCTATTTTGGCGAATTAAGGTGGCTTGCTCTTTTGCCGCCTTGTTATATAAAAAAAAAAATCCCTGGACTATAGTAAATTTCATCATTGTCTTCCCATTTCCATAGTTTGTATTCACTTGGTACTTATTTTTATACAATTATAATAGTTTGATGTCAGGTCAATCATATTTAAGAATTTTTAACGAATCTGTTAGTTTTAATTCTAAAAAATGATATCTTAAATGTTACTGTTATTGTGTAGTTATGATCGGTGTAACCTACTCGCGGAATAGTACAAAATTTAAAACTTTTTCTACAAAATTATACAATCTTGAATAAATTGTATCAAGTTATATTAACGTCTTTCATATTATAATTAGTATTATTAGAGTTGTATTTTGTAATTATTTACTGATTGTGTTAGCGTGTGCTTGGTGCCTTACTTTTTTTTGGTCGAAAGATTAGTTAAGATAAAACTTGTAATTAGGCATTAATACTAAAATTTTAAAATTAACTTAGTGTAGGCGTTCCGATCATAACTTTTACAATATAAAACATTGGCAAGAGGCCGCACGAATTTAGAATTACGATTGATTTTCTTGTATTTTACATTAAAATAAGTTAGAATGTAGTACTGTTTAATGAATTATGAAGTTGGTTTACGGGAATATTTTGTGTGAATGATTGAAATGTACGAAACAATCTTTAATTACTTTAAATTTTTCAATGCACCTGTTTATAAAGATATTGAGATTATATACATTTAAATGTTATTGCAATAGTTTTGAAACAGATGTTTGAATAAACAGTTTGGCTTTATATATGGATAATTAAGATTTTAATTTAAAATTTACCGGAAATGTTCAGATAACGGTGTAGTTAAATATGAACGCTAGTGATTGTTTGTATATCGAGATTTAATGAAATTACAGCAATTTTATACATTTCTATGATATGTTAGCGTTGAAAGATTTTTAGATATAAAATTTACTTAAATACAAATTATTAATCTTTATAAATGTAACCGTTTGTATTAAAGCAAATCTAGGGAAATAGTGCTTTCCTTATCTATAAACGAAATTAAAAATTAAAAAAAAAAAATTGTTTTTGTATGTCAACCCCAGAAATAAAACACGGCCTTGTAAATAAGTAGAACTTTATTACAACAAAGTTGCATTTTTACTGATAAAAATATGTATACTAAAATATTGCATAGTAAGTTTTTAACATGAATTTAAAAAAAAAATTAAAAACTAGTAACAACTATTGTCGACAAAAAAGGCTTAGAATGAAAAGTTTAAAAGCAGTAATTAAGAGAATTATTATGATAGAAACACATATTTGTATTGCATTAAAAAAAGCATAAAGAAACATTGCGTTATAAATACACAAAACACGCAAACATTTAAGAAACTTAGAACACTTTAATACATAGATTGACCCCTCAATTGCATATTTCAAATAATCAAACTGATAGTAGATTATGGTTTTAAACATGACAAAAATAAAAACATTTAAAAGCTTCAATGTAGAATAAATTAATTGAGTAATTCACACCAAGAAATTGTAGATAAATGACTTTTACACTTCATATAACAATCTGAAAGATTATTGTCTCAAAAAATATCTAAATATAGCTGTTTAATATCATAATATTATATTTCAGCATCAATTCCATCTTTATTGCTTTTATTTTTCATTTGGACTGTATTTATGTAAATATATAATATTTAGTCACTAATTATTCAAAACTTGCTTTAATCAAAGCTTAATATTATCTTTTCTTAAATAAGCCATGTAAGGGATATATCCATGTATTGAAAATGCAATTCTTATAAAAACTCGGTACAAAAGTGGACTGTAATACACATGCCAGTAACTGGTACACTTGCTTGACACTGACCCCATGATCATTTCGTTGACATTTTACTGGCATGTAATAACTGGCATTATTCACTGTCATGTGTATTTCCATCTTATTAGTAATCATCACCTCGTGAGACTACCTCCTTGCAGGTAGGTCTGAGTAGGATGGTGTGCTCGTACTGTGCGGTGTAGCAGCCCTTGATATCGCACAAGGGTGGGTAGGCGTCCACCACACCCTTATCACAAAGGTCCTTGAGGGCCATTGCGTATCGCGACGCCCCGGCGCGCTCCAACCAACGCTTACAGAACGCCAGTGTACCAAAGTTTTTGTTAATCACATTCAAAAGTTGTTTTGATGATTGCAGTCTGAAAGTCATTAAATGTTCTCTAAATACATCTATGATCCACTAGCTTTCGCTTGCGACCTTGTCCGCGTGGAAATAGAAAAAAAAATGTATGTAGCCTATTTGTTCTTCCAGACTATCCTCTACATCTATACCAAATTTTATCGAAATCCGTTCAACTGTTTAAACTACAAACTCTAACAAACATCTATACATCCATCTCAACTTTCACATACTAATATTATTAATGTGATCGAATTAACACAGAAATTAGTATCTAACAAGTTAATTTTCTCAATTAAAAACTTCTTACATAATGTATTAATAATTGCTTTAGTGAAATCAATATTTACCTCAATGGCACAAATTGTTGATCAAAGTTTTTCATATAATGAGAGCAATCCATATCATCGTGAACTTGTCCACGACCGGTTGAACCAAATGTCTCAATGGCATAGAATTCATTTTCCTCCATACGCGTTGTCTCACCACCCTTTACAATGGGTACAGTTTTACCAGCATGGATTCCTGTAATAAAAAAAATCATTATTTACTATGTTAAAATTTTACTTTTATTACAAAAGATTAACTATACATACTGTATGGTCCAATAGAGTGACCATTAAGGTTACGTATCGGCTTCACTTGGTAAACTTGACCATCTAATTCAACTTCATGTGATTCCATTACCTATGAAGAACAAATTAGCTTAAAATTCAAATCATTCTAAGATTTACAGTACATATCTTAGTTATCCAAATGTTGCTTTTACCTCTTGTACCGCAGCACCTACATCACACAGCCTAACATCCACACCGGAAGCCTTTATACCAGCCTCCGTAGCCTCCTGCACACCTTTAACTAGTGGATCGTACCGCGGGTTGAAGTGCAGTGTGAACGCGCAGTCGATGATGCGACCGTTAATATGTGTTCCAAAATCAATCTTAACAACATCATCATACTCCAGCACTGTATTATCACCTAAAGAAAATAAAAAATGATTTTAACAAAAACTGAAAAGCAACTTCAAAGCAGAAATTGACGTACATACAACAAAAAATACAGATCAATTTGAGAACCTCTTCCTGTTCAATGCTGCATAATAGTAAAATATTATAGTAAATGTATTGATTAAGTTGTTTACAACTGAGGCCATGATTAAATGGCCATACATTCCTACAAAGAATACTACATTTCCATAAGTCTATTAACAATAATAAGATAACTGAAAAAAGACAATGTAATTAAATGACACCAGTTATTTATCAATAACAATATAGGCTACAAAAATGATCTGATAAACCAATGACGATAACAATACTAATCATTTTAATAATATCTTTTATTAGGGATCAGTTTATAAAATGATTGTAGTAGTATGAGCTATGGTTGCTGAGACTCATTGGATAGTGTCTATTTTGCGTGAGGACAGGTCATGGATTACTCTAGCCAACCTAGGTCTCCGAACCCCAGTAATTCTATATTATTACTGGGGATCCTAAAGATTGAACTCAGTGAATCAAAATACTTAACCCTGAATTCAGTCATGGTTAAGCTGTGATGTATAACATGTGATCTGGTTTCCTCTTCCATCATGCACACTCTGCATAGTGGACTTTCAGTGAACCCTAAGTTATACAGATGTTTGTTGAAGTTGCCTTGACCAGTTGCTACAACTGATGTATTGTGATTTGCATAATTTAAGTAGTCTCTTTGTGAAACAAATGTAATCAAACTACTAAAGTATACAATAAAATATTGTAAGGCTAATTTTGGTCTGTAGTATGTCCAATGCATGTAGACAGAATATATTTAAAATTTATTATTGATGAAGTTTCCATCAATAATACATTTTAAATATATTATTCATACAGGAGGCAATGGTCACATTTTTATTGTCGGACTAAATGTGTAACTTACCTGTATTCGGTGTATAATGTGCAGCGCAGTGGTTACGGCTACAGCCAGTGGGGAAAGCAAGCCCAGCCTTAAGACCATCTTCTCCAATAAGACGTCTTGCTGTCGCTTCAAGCTCTTCACAGATTTGTATCATTGTCATACCAGGCTTTATCCAATCCCGAATGTATTTTCTAGTCTAAATATAACAACACCATTAACAATAAAGTAACAATCATGAAGTTTTATTAAATATCACTAACTTTTAGTAAACAATGAAATCATATTTTCATACTAATATAAATGTGAAAGGTTGGATGGATGTTTGTTAGAGTTTGTAGCCTAAATGGCTGAACAGATCTGGGTGAAATTTGGCATAGATTTGAGTATGATGGAATTATTCTAACAAATGGAATAAATACTATGTAATTTTAATACTGCATCAAAACATGCTTTGAATATATGAAAACAGATTAGACAAAGAGCCATTATTATATGTATAGACCTGTCTGTGAGCCTCAGCTGCATGTCTGATTTCCTGGTAAATGTCCTGGTGCATTCTATCTAGAGCTCTCTTCTCCTCACTTGAGAAGCGATCTTTAGCTGTTCTTTCATCAATGCCCTCAGCTGGGCCATGATCCATAATTTGGCCTTCAGGGAAGTTACCTAAACCGAAAATAACAAAAAAAATCTTTGGTTATTCTTATGTTTTAGCATATTTGGCTTGTGAAATCAAAGTCCAAGTATAATAAGAAACTAAAAAGAAATATTGTTTTCTTATAAGAAGGATGCCATGGTTCATATTAGGTTAATTATTGTACTAAAAGAGAATGATAATAAAAAACGTAACTTTTTAATACGTAACAACATAAATTAATTAGTACTAACCGTCAGGATATAATTCCGCGATTGGAATTGTTGGTGGGTTCGTTTGTGTTTTTCCAGAAGTTTTGACCTTATTTTTATTTTTCTTCTTCTTTTTCTTTTCCTCGGTTTCAGCGACATCTTCCACTGAATCATTTTGTAACGTATCACGCGGTTCAGGTCCATTTTCTACGGACGCTTCAGTTCCCGCTAAAATTTAGACATTACTAAATATGGCAGTTTCGAATAAATTCACAGGGAATGGCGTATTAGCTTAATGTTCAATCAAGATTTATAAATAACAAGGTACAAATAATCTTAAATGCAAGGAATGGAGTCTAACCTGTCTTCTTCTTCTTTTTTTTCTTTTTCTTCTTCTTTGAGGGATCTTTCGCTTCAATTTCCTCTGTATCATTTATATCATCATCTTCCTCTTCTTCTTCTACGTGATTTTTGTTATCCTCAACTGTTTTAACTGCAGCCATTGTAATCTTTTAAAACAAATTACATAAAAATAAAACTTGTGGTATCATGCATGCGTTAAACTTCACTTTAGGGTTGACAGTTGGAACGATTTTTACCAATAGCTGAGTTAAATTGTACCGAAATTGGTAATATTTATGGTTTTCGAATATTATCATTTTCGGTTATATCCCATTCAAGTGTTTATGTGTTTATCAAAAGTCATCATTAATTACTTTTGTCAGTAATCGTTATACTTAACTTGTAATTTTTGGTAAGTAAAATTTTTATTACTAATAAAGGATTAAAAAGAAGATAATGAAAAATTTTATTTCTAGCAATTGCTCGTATGAAACAGTAGTCTGAGATAAGAAACAAACATATCCTATTTTATTTGTGTCCTTTAAAGAAAACACTTACCTGTCCCAGTGTGTAAAGGAAGACTGAAATAACAATCTTGTACTGTACATAGTCAAGTAGGAACTTCACTGACATTATCTTGCACCTAATATTGTTATGTACCTAAAATAATTTAAATGTATTCCTAATTTGGCCAACTACGGAATCACCGAAGAAAAGCAACATGCTTCGTTGTGAATTTCGTCCGCGTGATATTTAAAAGTTCAAAACTTACGAATCAAATATGTACATACAAAAATCCAATAATCCTTAAATACAAATCTTACCTCATACATTAGTATAGATATACGTATAGATTACATGCAACGTAAAAGAAATAAGATTCTGTATTAAACACAAATTAAGACGAACGTTAATCTAATAAAGTGCATCTGCTTAATTTGTTACGTCGTAATCAGACGTAAAATCAGACATTAGCATTTATATTGATTCTCCCATGAAATTCACTGTTATTTAGAACTTGATGGCTTAGACGTAGTATCTTGCTTTTGGTATCGAATTGGAACAGTTTTAATATACAAAAATGGAGTATTTTACATCTTTTAATACATTTAATAAATGCTTCCACCGCAGTTGTTGTTTAAAAATAAACACATCTTAAAAAGGTGAGTTAATTTTAATTACTACATCTACTTGGATCTTATATCACGTATCACTTACTTTGTTAAGTTTTAAGTTAACGGATTGTGTTAAGATAAAATTAAATATTTGTATAACGGTTACTATATGCTTGTGACGTAATTTGTACTGTTAGCTTTTTAACTATTTTTGATGTATTCTGTATTCTAAAAAGTTATTTGTTAATCTGTGCTATTTATCAATATATTTATTTTTATTTAAAACAAAAATATTGTTAGGAAAAAATTAGGAAACGGAAGGAATAGTGGGGGGTAGTTTTATAAAATGTATGGCAAGGAGTGGCTGGGGTCAGTTTCAGTCTCGGCGCTCAGTCGCCAACAAGCTCAGTGTTATACTAGTCGTCACTACGAAACGTTCCATATATTTTCGTTGTCGCGTTGGAGTTCATTTTGTGTGTTTTAAAGTAATTTACAAGTATTGTTAATATGGCCGTCTGCCTATATTTCAATGGAAGTCATTTGTGCAAATATCTAACAGTACGTTGACATGTTATACATATTTATATCGATTTCAGAATGTACACTTACATTCAATTAAAAATACGCAAATTTGTCACGTAAAACATAAAACCAGTACTAGAACTAGTTTCTAGTAACTATATTCTATATATTTTTGCAGAAAAAATATGCCATGACTAGATAAGTGTGAAGTGAAGCGCGGGAAACGAGACGCAAGCTCTTGGGCACGTGAGCACTCGACAGTATACCGAACTACATATTGTTTTTGACTATGTTTATCTGTGCAGAAATATGGCGGATAGCTAAAAATAATTGGTAATACAACAAATCTGTTTCAGGACTATTTAATAGGTTACTAACTCTGTCACAAACTCGCAAATTTTATGCAGATCCGTTGGGGTCTATGTGGTAACAAACATCCATACATATATTACTACTCGCCAGCTCGCTTGAAATAAAAGCTTTTAAGTTCAGAAAGGAATCTCATTACTCTGTAGCACTCTTAGCCAATAAAAACTTTATTCAGTTCCTTTAGAAATAAAATAAATCAATCGATGTAGACATTAAGTTGCCTTCCAATTTCTTTAAGGCAGTTTAAATTTTTAAACCGATATTATTCTTGTATTCGTAAATCATATTTTAGAAAACGGCTATTTGGGTTTGCTTTAGTAGATAATTTAAATAATGAATATGTCATTTTATTTTTAAGTTTTTATTAATAAATATCGTTACAAGTCACGGATTTTAAAAGCTTTCATACAATTTGATTGTTTCACCAAAATATACTTAATACGCTTTAGTGAAAGGTTCTCTCGAGGGAATGTAATCCACTTTACCTGTTAGACACATTTTATTGGAAGTAATTTGTATGAAATATTGTTTTTAGATAAACAGATTTTTATTTGTAAAGGGAAACGAGATAACAATCGAATATGTTTTCTTCTATCTCTTTATATGTATTTATATCATATGAAAAGGAGAATTTATATCAAACAATTAAACGTTCTAACCATAAATTACAAATGTATGTCTTGATTAAATATTAATATTAAAAGTACAAGTTATAATTAGTTTTAAGTTCGTATAAATGCAATTATAAAGTCGAATCTTTGTTGTTTTCAGTATTTTTTATGTATTCCTATTAGTTAGTTGAATTTACTAAATACTTATATGACATTTATGATCCAACTAGACCGATAACTTGTTATTAAACTATTTAAAAGATATATTGTTTAATAATAGGCGCTAAAACAAAGATGAAGTTAATTATATACTTATTTTTGAAATCAAGTAAATGTTCATAGAGATAATATTGTATCACCGCATAAATCAATGTTTTTCTCATCGTAATGGACCTCCTTCGACCCTTTTTCTATTTAACCTCCTCTGCGCTTTCTTCGTGTTTTGGAACGTTATGGTTCGGAATTTGAACTTGGAGTGGAACGCTGACATGCGTATGTGGAGCTTCTGAAGCAGAGTTCGTTGCTATTATTCGAAGTGAGAGTTTGGTGTAAAATGACTAAGTGAACTGTTATACTGATCAAAGTGCTAATATCAGCAACCCGCAGCGCAGAACCATAATTCCGCCATGGCCAATCCAACTATCCAAGGCTTCCAACGCAAATATCCAAGGTAAGCGCCGCATATATCCGTTCCGACGAACTATTCCAAATCACTTCGTACCCTTTTAATTCCAATCTTGTACAATTTTTTTTTACAAAACGTGGTGATCTTAAGAGCGGGCGCACACCTTTGAAACGCACAACTGTTTACGATTGTCGATTGTTTCGCAGCCCATTCAACTGTTTAATTGCACAGCTATAAATCGAGTAATGTACGCACCTCCATGTATGTTCATAGGAATGAAAGCGCGACTAAACTGTGCGATAGCTTAATCAAAGATTCGCGTGGTCTAATCACCCGTTTCTAACTACTCCCTAGCGAATCTTATCATCGGTACGCTCCAGATGTGATAAGTATTACACCTAAATGAATAAGAGTTCTGCCTCGAAATGTTAAAATGTTGTGAAAATTGGGGCTTTTTAATAATGCAAGTACTTTCGTTTTATGATGAAGGTTTGACATTAAGCGGTGTTTAGGTCATTGGGATGAGTGGATGTTGACAGCAATTAATTTTATTGGATTAAAAGTTTATTAAGTCGGTATATATTTTCCATTTGTATTTGTCGTCTTTAGTCCTTGGTATTTATTTACATTAGTGGACCACGACAGCCCTTAGATAGGTTGTATCGTGTATAAAAGTATCGAATCGATGGTCTTACATAGCGTAAAGATTATCGTCATAAGACCATCAATTACGTTACGTTCACACTACTTGTTTTACTTTCTGCACCCATTGTAATTGATATTTTAAATCTGTAGTAGTAGTAGTTCTAGCCTTACGTTAGATAATTTTTAATTATCTATCTATTTTGTCATTCATGTCATGTCATTTGTTACGTTGATTGGTCAATTGAGATAACTAATTGTTAAGGGCCTGTCCCACCACTGGCTGATAGAGGCTCAGACAGCTTAAAAATGACGTCACTGTCAGATAAGGTACCAAAATCCTATGTTTCCATCACATATTTTACACGTTGGATTGTTATAAGATAATTTACAATTTGGTGGGACAGGGATCGTGAATCTTAGTTTCATTGGGTTTCTTACTTGAAGTGGTCAAAGAAATGGACCACACAGCATTTCTTTGAGCGATTGCGACGCGGAACCTATTTCCTGTAGAAGGAAATTCTTCGTGATCGCAATGACTTTGTATATGACGTGTATTTGAAATTGTTTGACTTTTAAGTTTTGCTACAAAAAACGTTTGGGATTCCTTTTGTTTATCAGGGAAGACATTTTTATAATTTAATAAACAATGCATTTAACCAATTTTTGGGTAAAGATTTATTCTGATTCGATGTCAATTTTTTTATACTCACTTGTTAAGATGTTGATGATCGAATCCTATTCATATTGTCCCAAAGTACGAGTTTTTATCACAATATAATCAGAGATCGCGTGATAAGCGACATGCTAATATAAGTTTCGGCTATGTTTACTAACTTGTTAGCTGTATTCATGTATGCAGTGTGGTTTGCACGTTGCGCGTTTTCCGTCTATCCGTCTTCATAATTTTGAGCTGTCAGTCGCTTCTCTTCTGTTGACCAAGTTACACGTTTATATAAGTATTTTAATATATTGTGCTATAAACTTAATTGCGAAGTATTCATTTCCGAAATAGTTGCTCGAAAAAGTAATACAGTGAATTTAACGTTTCTCTTAAATGTGTGAAAATGTTCAATGGACGTATTAAAACTAAAATATTTTGCTAAATGTGAATGTTATAAAATTATATTTCCGTTCATGTAATATAAACAAATGTGGCTGTGAGGTAGTGATGGTTTGTTGTAGTGAAAACTGAAATATTTTAAATATAAACTACGCGAATGGTAGGTGCAGTATTTAATTATTTTTAACTATAAATTATAATAAATGGTAATTAAAACAAAATTGTATTACGCATAGCGAAAATAGGAGAAGAAATATTGTAGCATTACATACTCCATCGCTCTATGGAATATTGCTTGCATACATACAGAGTGTTTTAGTAAAATGTTCATTAATTAATAAATAATGAATAGAGTTGATTGGTGATATTCTTAAATAAAACTACGTAAACTAGGAAAACTCGCACATATACATATAAAATTTTCGTAGTTAGTGGTATTTAATAACAAAATGATTTGCAATAGCCATCTTCGCGTGGCCGCAAATATCCGGTCTACATAGTATTGTGGCATGTTGCTTCTTAGTCATCGATCTTGGTTCATCAAGTAGTAATTATTATATAAAATCGACTTATCATTGTACGATATATCTGATTTCATGACTCGTATATGCATACGGTATATAAAAATCCAAACTAAGAGGTTGGATCGAATTTCAATTATAAAACGAAATTAATGTAAATATTTGATGTACCTAAGTTGTTACTATATCAATTACATTTTCAAATTTTGCTTGTATCGATTTCGTTTCTGTTTACGATAACCCCGTAGTCCGGTATTTAATATCAGTATCTTATTAAATTATTGCTAAATATTTATTGCCCGATTTGATTACTTCAAGGTTATGAATTTCAACATTAACATCGTTCCTCTTTTTGTTTATAGGAGTGTTTTATATTAGTCATATAAATGTGGTACTGTTAGTTAAGAACTCTTTAGGAGAAGTTGATAGGAAATTACGACATTATTGACATAGTTCGCTGCGGGCAATCGTTACAGACTGTTTACAACTTATCTACACGTTTCATTTCTTTTTTTTAGCACTTCAAGTGGTTAATTTGTGTTTAAAATATCTGGTATTATGCAGTTGGCCTGTATGTGTATCAACATTATAAAAAAATGTAAGTGTAGTGTAATGCTAAAATTTTTGAAGGTTTTTTTTTTAAAAAGTATTTTTTGTAAGGTAAATATAGGATGAATTACATAGAGCTGTATTACTTATTCAGCAAGTGGCACCGCGAGTTTCCTGAAAATAAAAGTCAAAGGGAAATATGCAATGACGTTGTTCTACAGTCTGGACAAAAGTTGAATTAAGTGGTCAGACTTTATGAAGTTTCTTATTACTTTTCTTGATTCAACGTTTTCCTGGTTTTGTAAAATTAAAGTCATCGCCTGTTAAATTATAAAGGTTACATTTTGTGCGGTATATTATCTTGTTATTATACATTAAAACAGTCATGTTGGCATTTGCAATATTATGTATTTTTTTATAAAGTAGAGACAATGTAGAGAACATTGTCTTTTTACTTTAAATTTAAAATCTCTTAAAACAATGTGTTTTGATCTCAAGTACAAATATATTAGTAAAGTCGCGCCACTAAACGATAGTCGAGGATGAAGTGGCTCCAACCACAACGTTATGCTTATGGTGTTAATCATATTACGATAAGTGACGAGAACTGGGCGTCAACTTGCTTACGCTACGGTGTTTTATATAAGAGATGGTTATATCATGGGTTAATATAATTATTTTATAAAGGAATTACACATAAGATAAATATAAAAATTAGCCTCAAAATGGAAAACCTCAAATTAAATTGAAAAATTATTATGTACTTTTAAAATATTATGTGTTAAAATATATGTATCGCAAATGGTTTATAGAATTGCGTACGTAAACAGGTTACGACTTGTCAAATTGCAAGTACTTCTACCATAAAAATTGTCCCAGTAAAAATTAAAAAGTTCGCAACGAGCTGTTAGTTCAGTTCGTTTATGCATGATGTACGACTATAACCACAAAAAGATGTGTGACGTTTAAAAGGTTTTAACTTAAAATGCGAACATAAAATACTTAGTACATTTTACTTAATTTTTACGTAATTTTCTACGTAATTTTCGCGTTCTTACTATATGCTGTTTGATCTTGCTAAGTCTTTATAATTTTTTTTAATATCAAACAATAAATTCAAAGGATCTTAATTTAGCTTTGGTTTGTCTATTCCTATAATATGTTTGTTTTCCCTTTCTTTTTAATCTCAAACGTAAAATAAATTGTCAGGAATGAGCTACAATGCTAACAATGTAAGTTAACATTTTAAATGCAATAATCCTTATTTATGAAATCATTTGTTTAATTGGCTGTTGGAAATGAAACTGAAATTGTGAAAATAAAAGATGGAAAATCATGTTCAATAAAACGCGCTATTAACACTTCTGCTCCACTTCAATTTACTTTGATGCTGGAATAAATGAATAGCAATGTGAAAACTCAGTAAAGCGGTTGTTAAGCGCGTGAGCTTTGAGCGTTGTTATCTAGATACTCTGCTCCTAAAAAGAGTTTGTGTTTAAGAAAGATCCTCTGTTCTATTAACTTGCGAACCAAAAATGTTAAGGGGCTATGTTGTATGGTGCAACAGTTTTAGAGTGTTAAAATATTGGGAATAAAACTTTTAATAATTTGAGGTTAATTGATTTAATTTATTATCCGTCTCTTGTTATAATTCTCGCATTAATTAACAGATGTTGCTATTTTTGTTTTTGTGTGAAGTTTTACAAATTGAATATTTGGTTGAAAAAAAAATGTTTTTGAAAGTGAGACCATTATTTTTTAAGTAGCTCTGTATACCAAATGCCAACGTAGAGACAGCCGACGCTTACATGTCACGCCCTTGATTTGCATAATGCTCACAGATATTTTATGTTACTTGTCTTCAACTCATCTTTTGTAGGTCGAGAAAATGCTCTAAATTTGAACGATGTGTAACATTATTTGGTCGTTCAATCAGGTATAAGTTCAATGGATAATTTTAGATAGACGTATATTGTACGAAAATATTTTCAGCTTGACCTTTTAATGTTTAAAATACATTCAATACAAAGGCATTAACTGAAGTTATACGGTGTAATGTAACATGTTACACCGCGAGCATCCATGAGATCGTTTCAGTGCGTGCGTGCTTCATGCAAATATAACACTTTGAAACATCTTTATAGATTTGGAATAATAACATTTTCCTGGCATTTCATAATTAAAACACATGAATTTAAGACTTGTACCATCTGCTTAGAAAGTTCGAACTAATTCCGAAAATGTTTAATCAATGTTTTCAGTGTGTATAAAATATTTATATTGGCTGTGCTAATCTTAGCGCGACATGATGGCAAATCGTCATTTATTTACTTCGGAAAGAACAGAAAGCATTATTATTCTATCGTTTGGCGTAGTGCCAAATGCCAAGAGACGTATATCTATGATCTATATTAATATGTGTATTATGTCTTTTTTTTTGTATGTTTAAAACAAATTACCTCATTGGTAATTTGTTTTTTTACCATGACAATAATTGTTTTGATTGGTGATTAAATATTCTTAACTTGGTGACTTAAAATATCTATGTGGATTTCCAAAATTGGAAAAATCGTGAAACAATTTTCAAATTCAATAAATCGATTTGTAGCTGAGGTTGTATAATGAATCTTAAAATAAAACGTCGCGTTGGTTTAGTTTATCATTCATCTCATTAAATATGGTGTTGTTGAGAGTGAGCGAGGTTCGTTACCGACCTCTTGAAATCTGCTTTTCAAATAAAATGCAGAATTTTTATAGATCCTATTGAATTGTGTATCCTTTTTGTCTTTCAAGTACATATTAAAAAAATAATAGGTTAAACTTAATAACATGGAAACAGAGCATGGGGAAGTACAACATACAGTATAGTAATCGACTATCTACTTGTACGTGAAAGAGTTTCACCAAATAATAACAAAAATATACATAAATTAATTTGTATTTTTACTAATAAACCACTGTCAATAAAATCGTTTAATCCTGGTTTGGATAATAAATAAAACATTTCGTAAACTGAGAAATAAACATTTTCGTTCGTTTCTGTATTCCGTCAGTCGGATAAGATGTAGTCCCTCTGCCTTCGGTAAATTGTTTGTTATGACATAGCCGTAACATTTCTTTACGGAGATTTCAACATTGTTCCATTATATTTCCTCAGAAATTTATTGCTAGGAATTTTTTTTGGTAATAGCAAGGAAACTCACTACGCACATTTGTTATATTTATAGAGAATATTGACTTACGAATACCTTTTTTTATTTGTATTGAAATACACGACATTTACTTGACGTCGCAATGTAAGGAGAGCTTATATATTTTTGCGTATCGGTGTCATGTGGTGTTTCATACCATAATTTAAGTTCAAACTCTAAGAACGAAAAGACTATAAAATAACAAGACACATATTAACGTCTTGAGTGTATGCTAGTCTTGATACAGCCTCAATGTCGCCTCAATATTAATAGGTTGGATGTTTGCCAAGTTTTCTTGTTCTGATTTTTTAAAACTATGCAAACTACAAAGTAAAAAAAAATAACAAATACTTTTCATCATGAAATTTCGTCAAAGGTGATTTACCTATCTTTTTTTCAATGTTAAGTTATTTCACTTCACTTGTTACTTATTATTATTTCGATACATGACGAGTTAATATTGTTTGTTGACATTTTTTTTATTATAACAACCTTTTAAGTTAAAAATACGAATTTTTGGCAGCATGTTATTTAGTTTAAAATGTGAAGGGTTATGAATTTTAAAGTGTAGAGTTCGTTATGTAGCATTATTTAAAGATCGCGTGATACAACGTGTTTACAAAGACGCTAGCTGTAGACGTGTGTGTAGCATGAACAAGGTTTTGGTTTTGGTAAATTTGAGCAGTCGCGCTCCGCATGCTCGTCGAGTGGCCGTGTCGTAGCACTCCGCTTCTACAAGCTACGAAGTTATTCGTAGCACAGTACTAGTGATAACAAAAGTGACATTGGTTTCGGATTTTTTTTTATTGTATGTTATTCTGTAAGTGATATATATTCTAGCTTTATGGTAAGTATTATTAAGAATATAATTTATTGTTCCTTATTTTGCAAATTATTTTATAGTTAATTTATGTAGCGTTATCTTATTAAATTAACATAAAAGTATCGAGTTAAAATTTTTTAAAACCACTGAGAATTAAATAGATATAAAGTAAGTATATGCTGTGTTTAAACTGTTCTATATTCTCTATTGTATCCTCTCTTTATGGTTCATTAATGTAGATGCGATTTCGTAAAACACTACAATTTGTAATCTTCCTAAAACATCGTATCCTAATTTTCACTCGGGATTTAGAACCTTGGAATGAATTGTCTCCCCATATATTATATGTACAGACACAGCATAGAGAAAAATTATTTCCTATGATTATATTATCGCTGTAAGTAATATTATCGTGTGAATTTCGTTAATTAGACAGGAGATCGGCCTTCTTCGTTCGTTTTTTTTTCTTTCGTGCCAGCTTCCTATTATGTCGTCAATAATAAGTTATCTATTTTGTCGTCATCTTTTAAACAAATAACTTTATTCCTCTTCATATTTGTTACTAAATATAGATAATATGTCTATGGGTTGTTAGGTAAAATGGAATACGGTTCAATATCTTTAGCTGATGACTTTGCTAAAATATAAGGCCACATATTCGTTAGTGCTTACTTTTCAAAACATGGCAAGCTGCAATATGGCACGTTTGGCAAGCAGGGTTCGCTCCAAACTTTAGTAATTAATATTATTAACTGATATGCGAATCGCACTCAGTGCTTAAACATAATAGATAAGTATGATTCTTATACTGCTCCCGCGAGTTTTTTCAACATTATTTTTGTATTTTCGAGTATTACTGAACTAATACAAAAGTATGTGTAACGGGCAGTCTATACACGTTAGTCACCTACTATTAGATAAATGTATACAGTTAAATGTGTTAAAATTTTCCTAGTATTCTTAATAATTAAAAAGATAAACTCCTTCAAAGTGACACCCGGAAATGAGCTGTAAATGCTGCACGTTGCATCGTCGACGGCAATAAACTGACATTGTCTGTCAGTGACAACATCGTGGTAAAGTTTATTAGAGTTTCAGCATTTGAGAAATTTCAAAATTAATTTACAACGAAATTAAAAATAAGCTTTCATTTCTTTTGTAATGAACAAAGTGTAAACCCGTAATCCTCTTATTTCAGCGTATGAAAGTAATAAAATCGAATAAAGCATTAATTTAAAGAGCTGCTACTGCGTATTGCTGAGAGTACATACAATGTTCAATTAGTAATTATGTTAATTGAACCAACAATCGTAATCCTTTGGAACATTCTAGTCTGAATATCAAAATGTGATCTATAATAGTTGCAACATTCGTATATAGATTACATACATCTAAGTCATAATGGGAGTTTAAAATTTATCTTTGTAAGTAAAATACAATAAGAGTTTAAAGCTTGCAAACATTTGTATTAAAATAAATTGAGGAATAAACTCGCTTAGTTATGACTTAATACGAGGACAACCCAGGTGTTCGCACAGCCACAATATTTGCATATTCTCGCAGCGAGCCAGCTCAAACTGCCCACTTTTTATGCAAATTATGCGCAACAACTGCAAAAGAAAATGGTTTCAATGCCTTACTTAGTATTGGTTGCTTTAGTAATCCCATAGTGCAGATTCAGTAAATGCAGTCTCCACTAAGGGACTGATTATGTAGTATTGTTAGAAAAAATTATGAATTTATACATATTTTTATAATAGTTTTTTCATAAGATAATACTTAAGTGATTCCGCACCATGTTTTATTAATTAAAAATGTCTGTAGGTCATTAACGCTTAATGCTTCAGACGGTCTTCCTTTTCCTGACCTTTTTTATGCTAATTGCTTTGGTGGCGTGTACTCGTGTTAAAACTTTAGAGATAACGAGACGTCTATAAATAAGTAATAGTGTGTGACATCCTGTACAATAGATTTAGCTTAATAGGAATTTGGTTTGCAGTAAATTTTTAACACATTTGAGTTATTTGATAAACGGAATACGGTCGTAAAAATTTATTACGGATACATAAAGGTTGCAGTCGATTTCCGGTTTAATTAAAAACGTGATCGTGTTCAATTACTGTTCTTTTTTACACACGATATATCGTGTTCTAAACTACTTACCTACATAAAGGTAATTTAAGAAGAAGTAAACAGTGAGTGTTATCACCTTCAACAGATTACAAAGATAAATAGAACCCATTTATCGTAGACAAATAGAGTAACTCTCAGTTCTATAACGATATCATTATTGTGTTAGCATACTTTATTACATTATTGTATTATTATTTACAACTAACCTCTTTTTTAATATAAACAAGCATCTAACCTTGAGGAATAAACGAAGGCTTTTGGAGTCTTTTGGATTCGTTACGGTATTTTACCATTTTCTCGAATTTTAGAATTTATATAGAGCAGTCTCCAAAATTGTTTTTCCTCGGGAGCTCATGTAGTGCTAAGAAAGTCCTACTTGACCACTTTGGTAATCAAAAGTTCCTAAAATCATAAAAATATATAACTCTAGAATTAAGTAAACAGAAAAGATTTTTATCATGTCTTCAAATAACTCAAAAACTACTTTGCCGATTTCAAAAATTCTTTCACCATTAGAAAGCTACGCTATCAGTCAGTAACATAGGCTACATTTTTTTATTATTTTCTAATATTACGCGGGAGAAAGTCGCGAGCAACAGCCAGTATTAATATATATTTTTATACTCTTGCCAATAGTTTGGATTACTGTCTAAAATGTATGCGTCGAATTATTAAATTTAATTAGATAAGTAATTAATATTTATACGGTATGTTTCGTTTAAGTGATTAACTTACACGTAACCCGCAATTAACGCATTATCATTAACAACGCAGCATATTCAAAGACTAAAATTCGACGACAGAATTTTCGAGTCTTAATTACAGACCTAAATTACACAATGAATTTCAAAAAGATAATTTAGTAAGGTTAAATTTCGTTAAGTTAAACGAAGACACAATGAAATCTTTGTTTAACGTTTATTTTGGTATCAAATCATTATTACATGTGATTAGAGTAATTTATTCTACAAAAGGCAATATCAGCTTAATGATTATGTGACTGACTTCCCGTCTACTATATTTAATATATTTGGATGTCATGATATAATAGTGCTATGAGTAACAGTATACATTAAACGTGTGATTCTGAAGAGTTTCCCACTTTACCGATTAAATTCATAGCCCGACAAAAAGGATCATCTTGTAAACATCATGTAAAAGATTTTTACCAATACTTGGCGTATAAATTAAAAAGTTTTAAGGTAAAAACTAATAATTCTGAGAACGTTTTATCATTTACAATAAGTTAAGTATTTATGCAAAGTTTTTACGTGTTACGTAATCTATGGTCAATTTTATGAATCTGAGTAAATTAACATGTGTGTTTAAAAGCGAATAATGACACATCCTAATGGAAGTCCATTGTCTGTGTTGTTTCGAAGCACATTTATCACAATATAATCAGAGATTGTGGGATAAGCGAGGGCGCCACTGCCTTAGGTGGAGCTAATAGATGCCTCACCCGTACCCAGATTACAATAAATTGTCATTAACTATGTACTTACCTCATAGAACAACGCTGAAGTTTCTGGATTTTGTATTTCAATAAATAAACAAATTACATGCTTGGTTGGAAAAAGCAATAGTTAAAATAATTATCTGCACTTTAAATATAACAGTGATATTTACCTATTACAAACTTTAATCCTTCCAACATCGCTGGTAACTTGATAAAGGTAAAAAAAAAACAGGAAATTCTAAAAGTAATTTCCCTCAAATCGAATAAATAAACTAACTCCGAACAGATAAAGTACTTAGTAGGAAGTTGGAAAGAAGTGTAATTTAAGATTCACTTAACTAAGTATGTATTTATGAAACTTTCAAGTAACAACTTATTGAAGTCTCGTGTACGAAAAAGTTATAACAGTATGTTTTACCAACTCGTTTTACACTTTGACGATCATACGTATGTAAATAGAAAATAGATACAAACTGTATATTTTTTTACATTCAATGTATACAGGGATCATTACAATAGGTGTCATATGATTGTAGCAAACAATGAATATTTGAACATAGGTAGATTGTTGTAACAATACATTGATCGGAAATTCTCATGAAATCCCCAAATCATCCCAATCGTATCAGCGACATAAAAAATAATAAGCTGTCTTGGAGCTAAACCTTTTTATCCACTGTCCATATTTTATTTAAGATTATCTGACACCAAACATAACACGATATTTCTTAGCCTTCTTGAACAGCAATAATATTGGTATCATATCGGTTAATAGTAGTGTTATAATATCCTAAGTATTGTTTAAAATTCAAATCATGCAGGCGGGATCTTGCTAATACCAAGATCATGTCGGTTAGTAATCTCGTCTTGCATACGCTCCAAATATAAATGGATTTGCATTCTGATTCCATTATAATACAGATTGGGCGCACATCTTATGGAATGTTTAGAATTTGTGATTCCATTTATATGGGCTTAATTTATCATATAAGCATTACGTTTTTAACGATAGCAATAAGGATGTTTAAGGTCTAAAACAATTGAAAGTATCGAGGAAAATGCTTTGAAAGTTGGAATAACGAATAGAGAAAATAAATAGTGATTTTGTTCGATTTTTTTGCAAACTCTTTTTAAGTTCTCTAATTGAAAAATGAAAAAATATCTATTAAACCAAAAAGATTGTACAAAATAAATAACTTTGACAATAACTTAAAATTATACATAACAGGAAATTAAAAAATAGTTGTTATCTTAAGTTATTCTAGTTAATCTGGTGATGGCCACACTAGGCAATGTAGGCCTGTATCATGGTCACCGGAATATTTAAATACAATATAATCAGAGCACAAAATTACATTATGTTAATATTTATTAAATAAATTGATCCACAGACCGATATAAATTATTAATTACATAAATAAATAGCGATCTA